CCATCATAAAACTGTGGAATAAAGTCTAAACTTCTGTGCAGCTCACACTGTAGTGTGTGGTCCCTCTTTTTCCCTCCAGCTGAGGAGATTCAGGTGGCACAGAGTCTCCATCCAGCTTTAAAAATGACTGTCCGGGGCTTGGACTGCGAACAGGAAAGACACGGCGAGCGAGGGGACCTGAGGCACGTGGCTGCGCTCCACATTATATAAATCCACACCACTTTTATGGGCTCCATCAGGGTAGAGATCTAAATCTGGGTTAACAAGCATAGCTTACCACTAAAAGCCCAGGGCACCAGAAAAGAGAAAAAAAGTTTTCTTTCTGAAATTCATTTCCCATAAATCATCTCGACTCAGTCTTTGAAGTGGCTTTCGTAGACTTTGGACAGGAAGTGTTGGGATTAGAGCTTTTTTCCAACCTGAAGAGAGAAGAGGTGAGGAATCAGGAGAGGAGAGGAGAGGAGAGGAGAGGAGGAACCCATAGCTCTATTGTGATGCTGAGTGCAAGTGATAATCCACACATAAATAGAAACTCCAAACAAAAAGGAAACACAGCATGAAGAAGAATATGTGCTAAGCCTTATTTGGACTCTCATTGTTCGCTGCTTGTCATCTTCTGTGGATTGAGGAGAGGAAGAGAGGAGGGGAGGGGAGGGGAGGATTGCCGTTGGGCAGGCATGCCGCCAAATGCAAATATTGTGGAATAAATGGTGCTAAAGCTCAACTGTGCCACTTTGCACCTAAGCCTGTGTTGAATTAACACTGTTATCATAAACAAAACATTATGTTAGTGTGGAAGTGGGCTGAGCGTCGGCAGATGGTTAAGAGCATTAGGGAGATACCTGCCAGCGGGCGCTTTTTCACCCCGTTTGGGCTATTAGAATTCACAGGCGACTCATGGCTGCAAGAGCGCCAGTGGCATATGGCCCAGTAAATATTGACTGATATTTTAATTACCCCTTGCATAATCTAATAATTAATCACGAACATTACAGTTTCACCCTTCTCCTGTACCGATACAAAGGTGCAAAGCTTCAAAATCCCTCTGCGGAGGCTCAGGATGAAGCGCAGTCACGTACTATGGTGTTATAACATTGTATTGTTTTATTATTATTACTGGTTTATATTTGGAGCAGGATGTTCATGTTGCACCTGGATGAGACGTTTTGAAAAGGTTCTGTAAAGCATTGTCAGTGCCACTAGATGTCGCACTACACCACCAGCATCTCAGATCTAAACAAATGTTTCCTCTGCCACACCTGAAGCCCAGTGAACCCGGACACTAAAACACACAAGAAACAAGAAGCACAACTCAGTAAAGTTACCCTGTGAACACGAGAGCCAACAAAAAGAACAAAACAGTCCAGCCACAACCATTAGCCCAGGCTAGCATTGCTGTGATCTGCTCCACAGCAATGCTGACACTAAGCCAGCTAGTGATAGCAACATTTGCCAAATGCAGTCATAATATCAGTAACAGTAAGTTACACATGTGACATTATTTAGCCATAAAGTTACTTACACATGGAGGAGAAGAAAAGCCAGCTCTGAGTCAAGCTGGAGCCTTTAGCAGCTCATAGGCTCTCCATCTCAGCAAAGCCAGACCACTATTGGACTTATCTTCTGGGAACAACTGGATCAATGACACTGACGGAGCTGGTAGTCCTCATCACCAGTCCGCCTCTGCTCTGGTCTTATTTCTTTCTTTGTTGGAGGCCATTTTAGACAAAAACGTGGTTTATTCTGTGGAGGAAATTCAGGAAAGTCGAATCCATTCTTCAGGATGCAGAAACACATTACTTCACTATTTAAATAATTTCATATCTAGTCTAAAAAAAATACCTGGTCACTGTTAACAGTCCAGTCAGAGAGCTCAGGTCATCAGGTGGTGGTTTTCTGACTGTACCTTGAATAAGATCCAGATCTCATGAGTTACTTTGGTCCTGGTGGCTGACAACCTGAGCTCTGCCACAAACTGTATGTGTCCACATTCAAAGAAAAACTTTTCTATTTTCTCAGGCTTAAGATAAGTTACTGTATGTGCGTGTGTCTGCGGTGTCCATATGCTTTTTTCATGCAAGAACATTCAGTTTATCTGTAACTTAATGTCCTATATAAATGAAAGTGATTTGCCTGCAGCTGTCACGCAAGTGCAGATGAGTAAAATGACATTTCCCTCTAAAATAGAAGAGTAACTCAGATATTGGTTTTACTTAAAGAGTTGGTTTATACAACCAAGAAAATGGACAGGTGCCAGTGGAAGAGGAACTCCTTGTGATTTTCTCTAGTCCACCAATTTTATTAAATGTGCTTGTGAGGCCTGAACTTCCCTGCAGGAGTGTTTTACAGGTTTTATGTGACACATAAAATTTTACAAGGGAATCATTCAAATTATTTGAACCGAGTAAAAACATTTTTTATCTCACAGGAAATTGATGATGGAAGTATTTTCACCAAAACAAAAGTCCCTTTTAAAAAAAAATAAAAAAAAATAAAAATGCACTTCTCAATGCTGCTAAAGAACTAAAATACAGTCAAGCAAATACAGATCTATGATCTCTGTTTTTTTTTTTTATGGCTGACCTCTCCGTTCTAGTCTTCTAGTGCTCACATTACATCTGTGTGTGTGTATTAACAGATTGTGCGGCACAGGTGTGTGTGTGTGTGTGTGTGTCATGGTGTTTTGCATTCATGTCTTTGCATACTGTAAAGGGATTGAATCAAAAGAAAAGCTGGTTGGAGCTCGGCACAGAAACTGGGCTCAGAGTCAAAAACGGGTGCAGAGATGCTACACACGCCTTGCGGTGTGTGTGCGTACGGCAGCGGACTGTATGTCCTACTGTCTTCCTGGAGACAGAGAGTGGAGGGATGGAGGATTAAGGGGGGGGTTGGAGCTTGTTGCACTGAGTGGGTGTGGAGGAGTGGGTGGGGGCAGATATGCACCGTGTCGCACATCAAACTCCTCGCAGGCCAGAGGAGTTCAGAGGAGGCATGTGTAACAGAATAATCCAGCACGGGCTCCGCATCCAACAACTTAGCATGCAAGAGAGGGCGAGCAGATGAGAAACAGCGAGAACCACGCAGCTCCTTGCCAACCTTTCTGGAAAAGGCAGCAGCTTCTTTCTCTCTCGCGCGTTGCTGTTTGAGGGCAGGCTGTCAGTGAGGCTGTTAAAACATTGAGCAACACTCCAGCAACAGTTGGATGGACAGAAACCTGCTGTGTATATTGTTCTACTGTGATTGCATGAAATTCCCCTCTAATTGCTCTTGTTCCTCAACACAGGCCAAAGGCTGATATTGAGAACATCTGAGAGCTTTCAGTACAAGTGTGTGTGTGTGTGTGTGTGTGTGTGTGTGTGTGTAGAGTTGGAGGATGGCCTGGAAAATGAGGCCGTGAGGTTTAACAGGTTGGATGGATGATTGTAGTTTTCACCTGTGTGTGTGTGCGTGTGTGTGTGTGTGTGTGTGTGTGTGTGACTTCACACAGGTAATTCAGCCTTTTAACAGAATCCATAATGTGGAGCACACGGACTAAATGTAGGCTGTTACACACAGAGGTGGTAATAGGAGTGTAACATCAACACACAGTGACATTTACCAGTATTAATTCACGGGTCCTGTTCCATAGTAGCTCTGAATTCACACAGCTCACAGTAACTCTCGTGTTTCTGGTGACCAGGCATCTTTGGCTTAGTTAGGCGTTAACAGCCTCGACCAGTGGTTCCCAAACCTAGTGTCCTGCCCTCCTGTGGAAACCTCTACACTCAGAGTAAACATCAGTGGTTGACTGACATGTTTTCTTTTCTTCTCCATCTTATTATCGACATGTTTTTTGCTTCTTGGATAAATCCTGCTAACATGATTGCCTTGCTAACATCAGAGCAATTTTGTTTTAATTGCTGCCGAATAAGCTTTTTTCAGACGATATTTTAACGCGTGAAAAAAGGAAAATCAGAGACGTGATTATTAAAATGAATGACGGCTGGATTCCATTTAGCTGCTTCAGTTTCAGGGTCCTGTTCTGGTGCTTGTTGGTTCACTGTCACACAATCATGCCGTACAAGTAGGCTACACTTAGACCAGAATAGACCAGAGCCGTCTGTAATGTTATTAGTAACACCTGCTTTTCCCACCATGACAAAGTCAAAATGTCTGCTTTGAAAAAGGCCTATAAATCACATTAATTCAACTTTTGTTCCCTCCTCGTGTTTTTCTTCCTGATCAGGTGCATGCTTTTCCCCAGGTGCTTCATAAGGGGAAAAAAAGAACATAATTCATTAGAACAGGATTTGTTTTTTTTTGCTTTCCCAAACAACTGATCATCTATTGAGCTTTCAAAATTGTACTTCAGCCCCTGAGTAGGAACGACTGAGCAACTGCTGATCTGTTTCTGTGCACATGTTCTATTTATTCGACAGTGCACCATAGAAGAAGAAAGTGGTCTGCGTGTAAATTTGAATTAAAAATATTTGTGCAAACACAGTCCGCTCAGTGTTACTGACACTGACAGTGATCTAATATGAGTCAAATAAGCCTGACTACGAGAGTGTAACTGATCTGAGTATCTGCAACAGTCCTGTTGTCAGTCTGCAGATGTTAGTGCTATACTGCCCTCTACTGGCTGATCAACCAATTCATATTATGGACACCACTTCATTTAATTTAATTAAGTTGATATATTTTATTTAATATTTATTTCTATTTTTTTATTTCTATGTCATTAATTTATTATTATTCCATCTCATTTTGCATTAATGTCTTTATGTTCATTTTATGTGAAGCAGCTGGTGCATGTAATTTCTCTGTGCTGTATTTCCTGTATGAAAGGTGCTATACAAAGAAAGGTTATTGTTATTAATATTATTATACAGTAATTAAAGCTGTGAATCAAACTTTCCTTAAATATTATTTAACTCAATAAGTGATGCAACTTTAACAGAACCGTAATCTGTATGTTAGATGAAGACAAAATAAAGGGCAACAAGTTTTCAGATGTTCAACTTTCAGGGTTTATTTCTCTAGTAGCTCTTCATATCACAAAAGTCTTCAAAATGCAGACTATGATCTGTATATAAACTGTACACAAAGCAAGGCACTATACACTGTGGGACTTAAAAATCAAATACATTTCATCATCACTCCATCTTTGCCTTTAATCAAGCCTGTATCCTTTCTTCTATCTGAAATATTAACGACACTAAACGCATCAAAAAAAAAGAGAAAAAAAAAAACTGCATCGTTTGATTTGTAAATGGCAAATGGTGAATTGTACAGCAAGACAGATCCAGTATTTATCAACATATGACACAAACCTCCTCAACATTCATTATACACTTTATTCTATTTATTTTAGTTCAGTGAATATTCATGAAGCTTTTAAAAAATCCTATGTAGATTTGATATAAATATAAATTATTTGAACTGCATAAACATACATACAGGAGTAGCAGAGAGTCTAAAGTGGAGTGTGTTGAACGGGCTGACAGGCCTGCTCCCACTCGCCCACACTGTAAGGGCACTGGCTGTCCTGTGTATTGTACATATGTACAAACATTAACAGAGTGTACATTTAAACAAGCTCTGTTTTCACTCAGAGGTACATCTGCCTACATTTGTCTCCTACTGACAAAAACACCGACACAAAAAGCAGATGAGAAAGAAATCTGCGGCGCGAGAAAGCTGGCACACCTCTCGCCCGCTGATCATCTCTAACACGACTTTGTAACTCCTCTCGTGCTTCTTCATCCCTCCATTAACTCAGGAGTCGCTACCCCTGAGCCTCTGTTGTGTGCAGGCGTAAATAAAAGAGGAGACAAAACAACATCTCTGTGGCTTTAGTCCATCTCTCTGTTCCAGCCGTTTAGAAAAGTCCTTTGGCTTTCTTCAAGTTCACCTGTTTCCAGACGGGCAAACCCCCGTACTCCTCTCTGCTCATCTCCAGGGCTTTCTGTGGGACCAGTCATGCACACAATCAGCATGAAGCACCAGCAGTCACATGGTTTAGTTTACCATACAAACTTCAAACCAGCAAATCCTGCTGCCGGTACGGTGAGGAATGAGTAACCTCTGAGAACACACTCATGCATCAGTGAGATTAAAAACACAAACTCCATTCTTCTACTCCAGTAAAATAAGTTCCGTTTCCAGTTTGATCAAAGACCTCATATTTCCAGGATTCAGTGTGGTGTCCACACCGACTCGAAGACTGTGAGTGAACAGCATGCTGCGCAAATGAGGACTTAGGTGTTTTAGATGTTTCTAGTGAAGCAGAGCTGAGAGGAAAATGGATTATGAGCCGAATAAAGAGTGAGGATGCTGTGCAACGAGTCATCCATGCTCAACTCAGACCACTCACCTTCCCATAAGCCCCTACACCCTGGAGGGTCGAATGAATAAAGTAGATGAGTTCACGAAGAGACAAGAGGATGGAGAAAATATGGCAGAACATAAGATTGCAGATAGAAAAGCAAAAGAGAGGGATGAACGAAGAGGGAAATGAACAGGCAGAAAGATCAACAAATAACCAGAGAAAAGTCAGGATGAACATTTATACAGAATATTCCAGACTGATGGAGAACACCTTAATATTTATCAACTATTAAAAACACATCAGTGAGCCACACTGTTCCCTGTGTGACATGTTCCTTCATTACTAAGGAGAGCGCACACACACACACACACATGTTTATTTTTACTCAGTCTGACATATGCACACTGTCCTGGTGCTGGAAATACTCACTACAGCATCAAATTCATTAATGAGAATTATAATAATAAAATTATTATATTCGTGATCCTTTTTTAAGATTGACATCTCCAGTAGGAACCAGCGGGTTTGAGGCTGAGAGCCACAGACAGGGCAGGAAAGTCAGAGGGTTGTTGTTTTTTTTTGTCTTTTGAGATTTGGTTAAAAAGCTGCTGCATGTTCAAAATGTTTCCATTTAAATTGTGTTTGTCACAATTTAATACCAACATGTGTATCTGCTCCTTTAGGTTCTGTGTTGCAAAAATTACAATAAGCTACATTTACACAATAAAATAATATGTAACATCTACATTTAAAAACAAAAAAAAAGTCGAATCATGGCATCTGGGAAACTTAGAAAAGTTAGAAGTTGAAATTTGTATGTAAATTTAAATATAAATGATTTTTTGGATGTTTGACATACAGTGATTTTACTGATGGTGATATTTATATTGATTGTGTTGGTTACAGTGACATGAGTGACAGTCTCCTACCTCAAAGTCCTCATCGGACAGGTAGACCTCCAGGCGAAGAGGGTCGACTCCCTCAGGCAGCGGCCGGGCCAGAAGGTCTGCCAGGGGGTACGTGGTTTTACACAGCCGGGCCAACACATCCTCCACCAGGATAATCTGGTTACACACCTCTGCCTCCTGAGAGCACACACACACACACAACACTGTCAATATAACTTCAATGCAAAAAGAACCCAGAGAGTTGGATATTAAATAACAAATTTAATTTGAAAAATCAATAAGGGATAATGGCTTTACACAGTAAAGTGCACATATTTCAGTAAGTGAGAGTGCACTGATGGCTACACTGTGAGCAGCACTGTTTCATATCAGATGATGTAGTAATCAGATAAAATGATCTGATCCTCTCACCCTCTCAGTGATCTCAGCGATGTCCTCTCTGTGCTCCCAGCTGGGGAACATGTTGGTGAAGGTGAGCGGCTCCAGACCAGCGTGGATCAGATAGGATTTAGGGGGCTTCTTCTCATTCTTTTCTAATAATAAAATAAAATAAAATAAAATAAAATAAAACAACAGTAGGTCTTTGGTTCTGAAGCAGCACATCAGGATTTCCTTTTTTTTCTTAAAATTAGGTTACAAACAGTCACTGCAGTTTTGTTTTTGCACTACACTTCCCACACTGGTGTGACTAATGCTGTGGATGTTCTCCCAGACCTCACATAAAGCGGTTAAAGAAGGAACAAGTAAAATATTACAACAGAATTTGTGACTTGTACGTGTCTAGAAATAATAAGAATGAAGTGGACTACCTCTGCAGTACTGCAGCACAGTCTCCATGGCACACTTCCTGTCAGAGTCCCAGCGGATTCGGGCTGAGCCGGTGCTTTCGCTGTCCTGAGGCCACCAGCCCTGCCACAGGTACACCTCATGATGGTTGTCCACCAGGAACAGGGCTGAACACAGGAGAGTGGAAACAAGATGATTTCCACCTTAATTACAGAGGTCAATATTTTCTTTTTTGAGATGTCCTTCACAAATTCAAAATGAGACAAATTCCTGTCTTTTCATCCATGCTTTATTTATTTGTTTCATTTTTTTTTTGTACTCTAAAGCTAAGAGAAAAATAAAATTTTCTCCAGGTTTGTGCTCTTGAAGTTTTTGGTGAGGTGGCCTCCCAGCATTTTTTCAAGTTACTAGATCAACATTAGAGCTGAAGCAATTACTCTATTATTATCATCATTATTATATATATGTTATCCATTCTCTGATTCCAGCCAATCCAATGTGAGGATTTGTTGCTTTTTTATGTTACTATAACCTGAATATCTTTGGGATTTTATCGTAAAGGTTAATGGAAAATGCTTGGAAAAAGTTTTTGTACAATTGATTTTTGGAAACATTTCAGGGGAACAACAGCTGAAAATATACTTTCCCAATGACAAACATATTTATTTTTCATTTAATTAGGGAAAGTCGTCGGTCTCGTTTCCAAACCAAGAATATTTGGTCTCAACTTTAACCTGTCATCACTCAGTATAGTGAATACAAATGAATAGATTTGACATTAAGGTTCATGTTTTGTACTAATGGGTAAACTGGCCAATTTATCAAAACACTGGGGCTGATAGATGAAAGCCAGGGTTATGAAATGGGTGTAGACATGTGGTGTGCGTGTGCGTGTGTGTGTGAGTGTGCATGTGTGTGTGTGCGTGTGTGTGTGTGTGTGTGTGTGCATGTGTGTGTGTCGTGATGGTGTGTGTGTGTGTGTGTGTGTGCTGTGGGCTGTGTCATTGTTGTGTGTGGTGTGCATGTGTGTGCGTGTGTGTGGTGTGTGCATTGTGTGTTGTGTGTGTGAGTGTGCATTGTGTGTGTGTGTGTGTGTGTGTGTGTGTGCATGTGTGTGTGTGAGTGTGCATGTGTGTGTGGTGTGTGAGTGTGAGTGTGTGTGTGTGAGTGTGCATGTGTGTGTGTTGTGTGTGTGTGGTGTGTGCAGTGTGTGTGGGTGAGTGTTGCATGGGTGTGTGTGTGTGTGCATGTGTGCTGTGTGTGTGTGTGTGTGTGTGTACCTGGCTGTGAGGCTGCATAAAGGTCCTCCTGCAGGAAGGGCATGGAGTTGACCTCCTTGGGGTCTCTGGCAGGGTAGAGGAACTCCACAGCTGCAAACTCACCTGAGCTGCTGCTCAGCTGGTAGAGACGAGGCGTGAAGTTGAACCTGCCTGGGTCTGAAGGTCAAAGGTCAAAGATATGACACATAAACAACTGCACTATTCACACCCTGCATCTGTTGAGTGTATAGAAAAGGTAAGAGTCATGTTTCGCACACTCATATTTCCCCCACCTTGCAGCATGCAGTCGTACGCTTTCCTGTCCCTCCTCCCAAGGGCTTCCCAGAATCCCGTGGGCTCTGTTCCCTCGTCACATTCCCGGATGGTCACCTTGCTGCTGCTGTGGAGGCCCGTTTCCAGAGGACAGCTGCACAAAGACAAAGGTGTCACAGTGAGCGACATTGTTTCAGATCTCACGATTTCCTTTCGTTCTCTGTTAAATGGAGTGAGGAAAGTTTTCCGCTCACTGCTCTTTGATCTTGTTGGCGGCGGTGCGTGCAACCTCCCGTGTGTGTGCCTGAGTCTTGCAGCCGTGCCACAGGTAGATGAGGGCTTGGCTGACGCTCAGCAGCACCATGGAGACTCTGGAGCGTAGGCTGCTGCAGTGACAGGCCACCTCCAGCAAGTGGCCCTCCACCTCCACCTCTCCCCGCACGCAGTACAGACGCCAGTCATCTGAGGAAAGACAGTGTTGTGTTCACAGTAACTGATGTGGAAAATACAGAGCTCCTCTGGATGGTTTGTTTTTCCTGAGCAGTGACGGCGTTGAAGTAATATTCTGCTCTTACTCTGTGAGTTTTCCTCCTCCTCTTCTCTCTTCCCTGAGTGGACCACCATCCCTCCCTTGAAGCACTGCAGGAAGCATGGAGGCTCTTTACCCTGCTGGACCTGAACCTGGAGGAAGAGGAGGTGAAACAGGAGGAGAAACAGGATGAGTCAGGCTGTCTGCACACACAGAAAACACACAGAGTAACCAGACTTTGTGTACAGCACCTGCGCTCCTCGCTCTTCGTCCAGCTCCACCGTCATCAGTGCCGATGTTCCTTTCTCGCTCACGGTGGAGTTGCGGCCCTGCCAGAAGAAGTAGCAGCACTTCTCCTTCCCGGCCCCCGCCGTCCTCAGCTGCTCCGGGTTCTGTCTCTTCCCAACTGATTGTTACAAAGACACTAATGAAGGAGTGTGACGGAAAACTATAAAATGTTGCAAGTTGCTATCACCTTTTGCAATGGTCACTGTGATCTGCTGCAAGACCTGACTAATGGATGCATACATTTTGTGTCTCCATGCATCTAGTGTAAATGCACTAAAATCAATTCCTCCACATTTATACAACTGGAATTAAGTTGAGACACCTTCACAAGCAAATATTAAACTATATTAATCTTAGGGGCCCCTTTTTTAATGATTTGAGCACATGGAGCAAGTTCAGTTTGGGTGTGTCCAAATCCAGTTTTGCTATTTTAACAGTGGAGAAAATGGTTGCATTGTTCAAAAGGGTTGGTCTCTTAATCAATAATGGGTGTGTTTTGGGCTCAACATGCAATAAACCGATCAGAGTGCCACCTCCCATTCCCTTTTAAAAGCCAGGCGTGGCTGCACCTTGGCGGATTGCTATTATAATGGAGAATTTGCCAGTAGTTCCCTAAGAGGAAGCAGATCTGCTCCTGTGCAAAGTGAAAGCATGTGAGCAGATTGTCTACAGTAACAGAAGGATTCCACCACACAGGCCCGGGTGCAAAATATCAGACAGAGGGTACAATGCATGCTTTTGCACCCTTTGTTGAAATTTGAATAATAAATGTGGTTATATCAAGTTAAAACCGACCACTCTGATGTATGTAGAGGTGTGTGTGGTTATAGTGCAGCCTGGTGATTTAATGAAGGGTGAACACAGTCAACAATCTGGTCTGGCGCTGTGTTCTGGCACAATGCTGAAAGCGGTGCAATTTTGTCAGGATGCGCCCTTAAAATAACAGTGGAATACTGTTTGTTGGTCAATAGCACAATTACTTTGCACTGCCTCAAGATACAGCAGCAACGCGCCAGACCACACCTCACCAGTGTTTCTTATTTTAGTCAGTTCACAGCAAAATATTACTGTACCATATGACCGCTAACTGGCTACTTTTTCTCCCTTTTTGGTTACAATAATGGTGATAATATGGCCTGTAGTGGCACGTCTCACTAAAACATCTTGACCCACATCTGTGGGCATTTGGCTGGAGGAGGATTGGTGTCTACATCAAAGATGTGCTCTGAAATTCTTGGATGTTCTCAGAGTGAGTCAGAGGTATTTCAGAGAGAGATATGTTGACAAGATCTACAGTCTCCCACACATAACCCAAGATCACGTAGTACCTGTGGTTTCTGCAAAATGCTCATGATCTTATTAGTGGTGCATTCAGTCTAAACATCACGTTGTTGTTCTGCAGCCTTGCATACTCTACAAGTGTAAACAGAGTAACACTTTCTGCACCACGGCATCAAATGAAAATGTTCTGAGTGTCTTTTGTATCATTTCATGCACATTTACCACAGTTCATTCTAACACGTCCTGCCAGAGTTTAGAATCTAAAATAAAGTTCTGTGGGTTAGAGTCACATACTCTGTGTGAAAGTGTCCCAGTTATACAGCAGGAAATCGATACCGACCTGCAGCGCTGACCATGTACTTCCACTTCACCACGTAGGTGTCGCCTTCGTGGAACTGGCCGATGCTCTGGCGCGGCAGGCGGCTGTAGTCGAACTCCAGGATGTGCCACACCTCCACCGCCAGAGTGCTGATCTCATAGCTCCGCCAATCCTCCGCCTCCACCAGGCTGTAGCCCCGCCCCACGTTAAACCCATCCAGTTTGGTGCAGACAGGCGCCTGATGGAGGGGCAGCATCAGGGAGGCGTCATACGCCCGGGGCTGATCGGAGGTGGACTGCTCCTGGGGGTGGAGATGAGATGTATAATCCTCTCTGACACATCACTGACAGGATTAGGACTTTTACGTGATGAGGTACTTCCTGATACCTTTTGATCTGTCATGTGGTCGTTGGTGTTTTTTGTGGGGCTGGGGGTTTTCCTGGAGTCGCTCCAGTCCAGGAACTTCTCTTTGAATAGAGTGGTTTCATTGTGCTGAGTCAGTCTGCCGAACACGGCCCAGTCAGGTCGACCCTGGCCTTTCCTACAGGTGGAGAGGACACAGTTCATCAATGACACAATGAAAATGTTTTCCATACACTGTTGTAGTAATAGTCTCTGCTTTCAGTTCAACCTGTGGGCCAGGGCCCACTGGTGGGCCGTGAATATATTGCAAGTGGGCCGACAAATCAATTGCAAAACAGTACAACTCTGGTGAAAAGATGTAATAATATATATTCAAAGAAATATATAAAATAATGTTTTTAAACATTTGAAAATGAAATGATCTGTAAAAACATTACAAATGTTTAAAAACTAATTCCACTGTTTTTTTCCTCATATTAAAAGGTCCTATATTTTCCACTTTTCCTCTGTTGATCCATAAGAAGATATATTTGTGGTTTCAAGAACCAGGAACCATCTCAGTGTAGTGTGCATTTCTCTATGGACTGAGCGCTTTGATACTTTCACAGTATTAATATAGAACCCAGACCTGCTTTACAATCAAACAACACATAGAAATCTCATATATGGGACCTTTAGGGCCTATCACTGTGATAAGCCAATTACAGGAAGTTTCATGTTGTCGCTGGCTAGACCGCATCGTATACTTGTTTGCTATCTCAGTCTGACTGCGCGCTAAAAGATTAAATCCATGGCAAAAACTGTAGAATGAAAATAGATAGCTTGTTGGCAACAGGAAAAATTAAAAGGAAAGAGTCAAGAGACAGATGGTGAGATTGCTTTGTAATGATTTTGCAAAGGCGAGCGCAGTTTGTATAAAGTCCAGATCCTATGAATGATCAGCTGCATATACAGCAAGTATCTAATCATGTGTCTGAGCTGCAGCGTGAGCAGCGTTTCCATACTTGGGTATGAGTGGATTGCACTCTCCCGGGTCGAGCGGGTTGATGTCGCAGTTGGTGTAGTCGAAGGTGCCGTTCCACAGGTGCTTGGCCAGCTGAAAGGCCACCTTCCTCTGTGCCAGCGTCACTTCCTTCCCGTGCCAAATGTACATCTCACTGCCGAAGTCAAACACCAAAACCTGCAGAGCGAGAGAGAGAGCGAGAGAGAGCGAGAGAGAGAGAGAGAGAGAGAGAGAGAGAGAGAGAGAGAGGTTTTACAAGCCAACAGTAGCAGCTGCTACAGTGTTTTTTTTTTTTCTTTTTTTGACCACTGGGGGGAACCAAGTAAAACATAAAACGTCAAAAACATGTCAGCAGGGAAAAAAAGACTAATTCAGGTTGTCTGACCTCTTTGGGGTTGAGCAAGGAACAGCGAGGCATCTTGGCCCAAAAGTCATCATCTGGGACCAGTTTGTCATCCATCAGGCGGTAAATACAGTTCGTCTCCACAATGGCGCCTTCATACAGCTCATCTTCATCTGGGGTTCCTGCAGCTGCAAAAGGAAAGAGACGAGGTCACTGCATTACAGCGCTTCAGGGACTGTTTGTTTTCCTCCAGCTTCAGACAGCGTCAGATATGAATATGAATCACTTACACTGATAATTTGACTGTCCTCCCAGAATCTTCCAGAACTCCTTGGCAGGGTGGCTGTTTGTGCAGATGCCCTCCTCGATGACCTGAACGTAGTTGGCCCGACAACCCAAATCCCTCTTGCTCTGGATGAAGTTGGCCAACTCTGAAGCCTGGAAGAAAGAAAAAAAAAAACTTATTGTGAATAAGTTCCTGTTGAATCAAAAAAAAAAAAAAACACAGGTTCTCTGTTGAAATGGTTGACGAGCTGTTTACACTTGGCAAAAACATAACGAACACATCATAATGATTTTTAAGTTCATTTCTTAGACATCATTATGGAAGAAAAACTTGGTTCAACACTTTCTAAGATACAAAGAAAAGTCTGTTTAAACCATTTTATCAAACAGATTCATAATGAACTGAATTAAATGATGTGGGCCACGGCTCAGTGCTTTCCTTTCTGTCAGATTGAGGTCAGCGCTCTGCTCAGTCAATCAAAGGTCAGCAGCCAGTCTGGGCTTTCAACAATAGCCTTGTTTTGTGCGAGTTTCCTGCAACAACCCCGCACACACACACACAAACACACAGACACACACACACACACCCCTACACCCCTTTTCGCTTCACACACTGCTTCCTTTGCTGCTGCCACTGCTGCTTCCTCCCACGGCCGTGTTGACATCCTGCACGTGAAGCCAGCCGACGTCGCTACGACTGAAGTCAAGTTTTACTCAGACGAGCTTGTTCTGCCTCTGCGCCGGTGACAGTCAGAGCCGGACGCATATTGTTTTCAGGTGGACACGATATCTCAGTAACACCTTCATGGAACTTCTTCAAAGGATGAACTGATTAGCTTTATGGTGGTCAAAAGGTCAAAGGTCAAGGTCATGGTTTTGGCCTCATGAACGCAATATCTCTGTAATGCCTTGAAGGAATTTCTTTAAATTTGGAACAAAAGTTCGCCTGGACTCAAAGATGAACTGATTAGATTTTGGTGGTCGAAGGTCAAAGGTCAGTGTGACCTAACAAAACACTTTTTAGCCAGTCACACAGCAATTACGATGAAATTTCACACAAATGGTTCATATATTTTGACTCTAAATAAATAGGGATGTAACCTGAAACTAGTCTGAGTGGCGGAGGCAGACAACCACGAGGACGTGATTCTACTTTTCTAATGTTTTGTGTTGGTACTAACCTTGTTCCTCTCGATGACGTTGGCGAACTCTCCGGTCCAGATGAAGCAGTGGTGCGGCGCGATGAGCAGGAAACAATCGCCGCTGTTCAGGGAGGACGCTCTGGGCTCCACCAGCCTGGTCTGGACGTGCCGTCGGCCTGGTTTTACATACAGACACGCAGACAGGTGGGCTCATCAGTGACAGCTCTGATTATCACTGTGTTATCATACTAGGGGTGTCAGGGCAACAATGTGCCCGCCGTCGCCATTTGATCCTGTACATGTATGTAGATAAGTCTGCTTTGTCAAGTACACAGGGTTGTTTAGGAGCCTTGGTGGTTCAGGATCCCTCTGGCTCAACAGAAACCAGCAGAAGCTACTCAGCTACACTGCCGGGTTGGAGTCAGTTGACCTCCTAACAAAGCGAGTACCCCCCCCGGTGTAGTGGATTACACTCAGTGGGGTTTGGCGGAGAGGATCAGCCCGGGATAGCGTGAGGTGACCTGGGGAGAATGATTTAGAGCCACAGCTGTCACCAGCAGACTCGTGGAGGAGGTGCGAAGACACCAAAATAGACCGACTCTCGTCTCCCATTATAGATATCCTCTGGAAAGGAAAGGACGGCATCCTCCAGAGCTTTGTGTAAAACTATTTGTTTTTCCATCCACTTGAGCAACTGAGTGGAAACACTACTAAACATACTGATTCACTGGCTGAATATTTCACACTTGACTCCACAAAACAAACAGCTAATTTAACAGATAAGGAAAATGTGGACAGAAGTTTTATATATCTTTCTGTTTGGCTAGCTCGATGCAGTAAATAAACTGAAACCTTAAGACTGGTTACTCAAAGAGGACGATTTGAAGACAAAGTATTTCTTGGTAGAGCGTGATAACCTCTGAATGTTTTTTGTTCCGTCATCTGACAGCTGCCTGGACTCCCTGTTGGTGGGTTGAGGTCTAAAAAGTTGACCATGGTGGTTTCTACATTACAGTTACATTTGTGAACTGAAACTGAATGTTAGCACAGTAGTTATCACCGTCTCCTCAAAGCAAGAAGGTCCTGGGGTCAAATGCACTGACATGCAGAATGGATGAATTGACCTTGACTTGACGCCGGGGCCCACTGGTGGGGGCCGCGAATATATTGCAAGTGGGCCGACAAATCATTTGCAAAACAGTACAATTCTGTTGAAAAGATGTAATAATATAAAAAAATGTTGGTTTGTTTTGGAAGGTTTTAAAACAAAATGATCTAATGATCAAATAAAAACATTAAAAATGTTAAAAATTCCTTTCACAGTTTTTTTTTCGTATTTCGTTTATTTCATATTAAAGGTCTCTTTTTTACACTTTACACTTCTCCAGTGTTTTATTTGAAGTGTTGATCCATAAGAAGATGTATTTGTGGTTTAAGGAACCAAAAACCACCTCAGTGTAGTTTTACATCTCCTCTCTCAGGCTTCTCTCTGACAAAAGGTCTGTATACTAAATATTCAGATGTTGTGAATTCAGGTGCACCTGTGTGTGTACAGCTGAGGAAGCCTCTGCATTCAACTGACCTTTGACCTGCAAGAGCATGAGCTTCTTGTACGGCACGGCGCTGTTGTTGGACATCTGCTCGGAGATGTTGACGCTGCGCAGGTTGACGTTGCTGAAGTTCTCTTTGCTGGCGAGTCCAGCCAGAGCCACCTCAGAGAACCCTGAGTTCTTATTCACTGCAGTGAACAGAACATAGCAGAACACAGAGAGGGACAGAGAGAGAGGTCATCACACGGAACATCAAATCATTATGTTTAACGCTTATATGTGGATAAGTAAAGAAGCAGCAGCCAGACAGCCAGACAGCCAGCCAGCCAGCCAGCCAGCCAGCCAGACAGACACACACACACACACACACACACACACACACAACAATGAAGGTCTCTGCACGACAGCAACAAATGCTCCAGAGAGAGTTTAAGTTTTTATTGCTGTCAGAGGAGGGGAAGGAGGAAGCTGCATGGTTCTTTGCAGGTTCTCTGACGTCACTCTCACCACGTGCACTAAGATTTTGAGGACTGCTCTGCACAATGACAGGAAACAGACTCCAGGACCCAGATCTGGTGTGAGATGTGGGTCAGTTAAAGTCCCAAAGTAGTTTGAGTGGGTTAATCCACAACATGGAGAGACTATTTATAGTGTGCATCATATCAGTGATGCTTCATTTAGTATCTGATTGATGAACATGTTGTACTGCTGTTTATCTGTTCGCTGTTAAGGTGGGAGCCTTTCGCCTTTCTACCAATATTATAAAGACAAGACGAATCCAGGCGGACTAAACAGGTGCAGATTACACTACAGGATGACAGCTCATCACAGGAAGGCAGACATGTTTGTTGTTGTATTTCTGCAGCGTCACACCTATAAAAGACACTTCACAACACAGTCTGACAGGAAGGGGAAAATAAGATCACAGACAAACACCTACTGCACTTTATCAAAAATGTTTGATTTCCTTTGGACCGGCCAGGACTGATTATTGATTAATGAGAAGAATTTGATGTCATAGACAAATTAGAACAACTTAAAGAGACTATAACGTATAAATTTCACTTCAACATTCAAGGTTTAATAGTGGAACATGAACAATTATACTGAATATGTGCAAATTTAGAGACAATTTTGTCACATGTAGTGTCCCTGAGTATTTTCATCTCATGTTTTCTCCAGCTCCTCATCCTCTCTCACTCACTCTTCTCAGCCTTCATCCTCTTGCTCTCCAGCAGCCCCACGTTCAGCCTCTGCTCTGTGTACTCGTGTCTGATGTCCTCCCTGGCGGCGAGCATCTTCAGAGGGTTCCTGGACGCTTGGACGTTGCGCGCCGGGCGCACCGCTCGCTTGTGCTGCACCATCTCCGAGGTCAGCCTGGGAGGGGAGGGGAGGGTCAAGATTAACAGGAAAGGGCCTCATAATGATGGCTTAGTCAGGGTTATTGTTACTTCAAAGCGACGTCCGGCAGTGAAAACTTACTTTGGCACCTGCGGACCGAAGATGGCGTCAAAGTCGTCGTCTATCTCCACCCTGTTGACGATGGAGGGCAGCTCCTCCACGTGGCGGTAGAACTTGGAGAAAGTCTCATCTTCTAGGGTCATCACCTCCTTCACCTTCTTCTCTGTCACTGTGATGGTAGCTTCTGGAAGTCCACACACTGGGAGGGGAGAAGACATGGCTGCGTGAGGATCACACTTATCCCAGGATTCATTGAAGTTACTCCCACAGAATATAGTCTTAGTCATGTTTGCACAGGCTTTGACAAATGTACTGCTAATGAATAAATTTACAAATTTAAATTGTAACTTTTCATCATTAAGACAACTTAACATGTTTTGCCAACATACCTCTGTCACCTGACCCGTGGGCCCCATGAAGAAAACTTAACATAGAGCTAGTAAAAGTCTCTTCTATGCATGCATAAAGAAAGAAATTATAATCCTCTTCACTTATATTAAAAAGTAAAAAACTAATTTTTGATACGATCTGTGCCTGATTCACAGGAAATGACAGATGCATGTACTGGACACAATGTAGAAGACAAAAGCTGGTGCATACACACATTTGAATATAATATGGAAGACATGTGGAGGCACAGCTGTTGTTGACTTCCCCACTGAAGGCCTGTTTACGACGCAGGGTGGTCAATACACATCATCATGAATGGGACTCAGACATAACTATCTGTTGTGTAAATGTTCCATACGGGTTTTATTCGGCAGCACAGTGACTGCACGATGTTTGGTATCTGACGGATGAGAGGGAGCTTTGAGTTCAAAGTGTTGATATAAAGGAGAAAGTGACTTTTGCTCTCATCATTGATCGATTTAAAAACTTGTTGCCAGTGAAGCCTTAATTAATGACGCTCCTCTTCTAATAACAAATCCCAATAAGCTTTCTCATCAATTCCTTTATTAAATGTTATCACAGAGCAACTGCTGCCTATATCATATCATCCAATGGGGAACATGTATGGAATGACAAGAGACTAATTTGGACATCTTGTTAATTAGGGTTTGTGTTGTGGTTGTATAAATATTGTTTGTTTTTCCTTCTTTTGAACCTCCTTTAAACGGGCTCTTTCAGTGTTTCCTGGTTTATTAAAAAAAATAATTTTCTTTGTACATCAGAGAAGATATTCAAGTAATACATTTGCAAAACCTTTAATCTGTGCACGGTGAAGTGATACGGCAATGTTCCTCTGTGACTCTGACACTTACTCAGGAATGAGACCATCATGTTAAACGGCCGTTAAATTTCCGTAAGGAGGCGCAGGTCAGCAGTAACCACAGGTTTATACAAATCAACCAGGACTGAAATCTAACAGACTCAAAGTAGGAAAATACTGAATGCCTGGAAAAAATGCAAGACTAATCTCTAATGAATCACAGTGAACTGCAGAATACTGGACTTAATGCATTAAGTTTGGTTTCTGTTATTACATCAGATAAGAATGAGATGTCATTACATGAATCTATATCTAATTACAGGTTTATAAAGTGGCTCCAGTTTCACATTATTTGAACAGTGTGACAGGTGAGTCCTCACTCTGTGACTGAGTAGGGAGCCGTGGCCTGATGAACTTATACACCGCACGCTGAGCAAGACTCACCTTTACTGTTGAGCTTGCCCAGGAACGACTCCAGCTTATCCAGCTTCATGTCTGACTCCAGGTTCAGATCTGGTATGGCCTTGATCTCTGCACAACCACACAGACACACACAGACACACAGACAGACACACACACACACACACGCCATAAATTTACATCACGTTTCATCTCAGCATGGATCTCCTCTCTGAGGAGGCGGGCTGAGCTTCTGTTGTTTATAGAGCCATCGATGCTGATGTTGTTGTTTCTATGATGACTGAGCATGATTAACAGTCACAATGACATTAATGTGAACACAGTCACAAGCTTTGAATATGACTTCTTCTTCCGCTATTCAGACTCATGCATATTCATCAAAGTCAACATGGTTTAGATTCTATTAGGCTTTGGAAGCTAATAGAAGTCTCATAGCAACATCAGCCACTTTAGCGTTGATGATATTGGTGGTTTTGGTGGTGATGATGAATTGTGCATACAGTGCAACACACACAAAAAAAAGTAGGTATACACCTTCAGTATCAGACACCTCCTCCATGTCTTTTGAAAGAGAAACAAAAGGAGTCAGTTACACAGAGTCCGAATGAGATTGGGACCAGAGTCAATTCAAAAAACTGTGAATTTAACAGCAGTGAACAAACTGTCAACTCAGTGGCTCAGGACCAGAAATTATATAACACAGGAACCCAGCTGAGGATGTAACAAAGTCATATAATTAAGTCTAAAGCAGATTGGTGCAGCAGCTGAGCTCTCCAGCTAAATGAGATAAACAGCTCTAAGTGATAAGAGGTAATCAGAGGACACAGGAGTGTAGAAGAGAGAGGCAGAAAATAACATTACAGTATAACAGAAGATATAAAAAATTGTGTAAAGCGGAATAAATGAGCAAGACAGCTGGGGAAGGAACCCACCTTCCTGTGGTTTGGAGATGGCCGGGCTGCTGTTCTTAGGTTTGGATGGGACTGGAGACTGGAGGGCAGAGGGAGAGGCCAAGCCTGAAGAGGGAACACAGACAAGCATGAGCATCCAATCACCTACACAGCATGACATGGTTACACACCATCATTGTCAATTGATGAAATGTCCAAAGAGTTATTTACTTTTTTCCCCTCAGAGTTTCGTTGCATTAGTAGATTTGTCGTCACTGTATGAGAACTGTTACTGACAGACTTTCAGTATCACCAGTATAACACAGTTAACCACTGGTGGGGCGGTCAGCTGTTTTATCAAAAATGTGGGAGCGTTCACTCACCGGCTGTGTCGTGATGCTGTGTTATGACAGCATACATGCAGCTATTAGTGTCACATTTGCACATACAAATGAAGTGGTCAAAGTACAGTGGCCCGGAAGTGCCAAACCAAAGCCTGTTAGCCTGTGCTGATACTGGGCAAACAGGAAAGTGACATACAGTATGCAGAGGTCATTTATTAAGCTTCCATAGCAACTGCCTTTCAACCTGTGCAATATGCCACCTGTGAATGTTTCCCTTCAGCCTGCATTAATTGATATTCTGCACTCTGTGGCAGCAGGCTAGAAACACAACACTAACATGTCACATTATAAAGTTAATATGGCAGACATGTTAGCAAACAGTTGCTGAATTAAATTAAACACTGAACTAAAACACTGAAGTTGTGGCTGTAAAACCGCAGTGAGCTGAGACACTAAAATGCTCCACTACAACTTTAAGTCATACTTTCTTTGGGTTTGTCACTACGGGCGAACTCTTACACATTAATTACACTTTAATTAGAACCATTGTTAACAAAAAATATTGATTGGAGTAGTGTCCAGGGTTTCTTTACTGCATGTAGGAATTTTGCAGATTAACAGTAGTAAATAATGACTGGAACTTACAGCTATAAAACATGAGCCTAAAAAGCATCCGGAGCTACAGAAGCACCGTCTGTGATGCCTTAAAATAGTTACATGCATCCTTCCTATTCCATTCTCAGTTAGTTATACCTGCTAATAGGGAACAACTTCAACCATTAAACCAGTGTCTGCCTCTCTGTGGTGTAAAGACTTAATGCATTTCAGCGTGTTTGCGTAAGAGCTGGGGAAAGAGAAGTGTGTTGAAGTGGGGTATGCGTTGAGTTCGCCCTCTGACCTTTCTTCACCATGCGCGCAGCCACAGTGAACTGGGTGGAGTCGTTGGCGGCTCCGTGGCCTTTGGTCTTCCACGCCTCCTCCTGGGCCACTATCAGCTGCTTCCTCTCCTGGATGGACATGTGAGCCTCGATCCTCTGGCACTCCATCTCCGCCTCAGCTATTCTCTAAGGAGAGAGAGAAGAGAAGATGCTGAACACTTCTGACAGGAGGTTAAGGGAATGATCTACATTAGGATACCTGTACACTGTAATGCAGCCTCAATTTGTGATGTTTGATGCATTCCAGGAACTGCTCTGTGAGGGTCACATTCACAAACAGACAACATAGCCAAGCAAAAACAAGGATACCAAAGGGGGGGTAATTAATGAACATGAAGCACATTAATCCTACCCTCACACTGGAAACAAGCCTTTTACCTACACCTGCAGGAAAATTATTCTGCAGGATGCAACAAGCCTGTGAGGGCAGATGTTTCTCTCAGTAAACAAGCTTTAGAAATATTTTAGTGTCACATGAAGTTAAAATGAGTTAATACAGTGACAATTTCCTTCAGTAACTGCCACTCATTTGGTGTTCACTTAGAGAAACTTTGCTCAGTGTGTGTGTGGGGTGGGGGGTGGGGGGGTATTCGCGAGAGCACTTCACACAGTATCCACAGGGCTGGCTGAGTCACCTTCCGTCTCCAGGGGTGTTTCTCATCCACCTGCACAGGTCTGGGAGATCTGGTGGCCTTCACAACCAGAGGATGAGGAAGAGGAAGGTAAGAGAGGATGAGGATCATGAGATAAGGATGAAGAAAATAAGACAGCAGCTGTATATGGTGGGAAAAAGTCCACAAGCTAGAAGCTGCAGGGGCTGCCGTTATGCTTAGAGGCAAAGTGATGAAGCTTTGGGGCGGGGGTAAATATTTAGTGGCATAAAACAGCAAAGGACTGCAGAGCACTTGTAATCATGATGTGCTTTTGCCAAAATTGTTTAAAGCTACAACTGAAGGAGTAGAAAGAATTTAAAGATAGAGATGTAGATATTCGTGGTGAAACAGTGAAACTTGCTCAATGTACATTTTACAGATTCTCAATCAAATGATTAATAGGGTTTGTGATTGGATTTCAGAGCTTATTGAAGTAGGCTGGGGGGTGGGGGGGGCGATGCAGGCAGAAAGCTCTGGTGCAACTTCATACCTGGCTGGCTGAGTCATCAGGGGAAGGGGTTTGGAAAGGAGGCTCAGGAGCAGCAGAAAAAGTAGAAGCAAAGACTGGCTCCTATACAGGCCGCAGATAGAGGATGTCAACTTCAGTGGCTCAGGACAGAAATTTTAATAACACAGGAACCTGCAAGCTGAGGATGTAAACAAAGTCATAAATGAAGTCTAAAGCAGCATTGGTGCAGGCAGACTGCTAAGCTCTCCAGTAAATGAGATAAACAGCTCTAAGTGATAATAGAAAGGTAATAAGAGGACCACAGCGCGAGTAGATATGATACGAAACGAGAAGCATGTGAGGCAGGATAAAGCTAAACATTTACAGAGAAGACATGAGTCAGTCATAAGAGAAGTCACTCACTGGTCGGCTACACTCACACAGGGCACAGAATAACTTAACAATAGTCACTCGTAAAGCGGGAATTAAATGAGACACAGAACAACCTGGGAAGGAACCCACCTTCCTGTGCGTTTTGGAGATGGCGGGCTGCCTGCTCGTACACTCTCTCGTGATGAGAGACTGAGTGCAGTAGAGCTGGTGATGGAGCAGGTAGGTGAAGGTAGACCAACAGCCTGTAGTGTGAGGAACACAGCGACAAGGCAGACGCGGGAATACCAGGTGCTGTAACCTCACAGCCGACAATGCAGCAGAGGACGCGCGGCCTGCCAAGAACCTGTACCGCACCCGCCGCCACTGGACAGCAGAAGTTCACAATTAAGTTACACCGGGAGAAAAGTTACAAATGACATGGGGAGGAGCCAAAACAAAACAAGCAAACAGGAAAAAGGGGAAAGCCCGCCTAGCAGAAACCAGGAGACGTCTGGGCAAGAACAGGACAGACAGGAAAGACGTATGCACCATCGCGAGGCGAGCTTCATATCAGCCTTACCTAGCAGCACGCCCAATGACACACTAATCGCGTGTGAACGACCACCACGCAAGAAAGAAATTATAATCCTCTTCACTTATATTAAAAAGTAAAAAACTAATTTTTGATACGATCTGTGCCTGATTCACAGGAAATGACAGATGCATGTACTGGACACAATGTAGAAGACAAAAGCTGGTGCATACACACATTTGAATATAATATGGAAGACATGTGGAGGCACAGCTGTTGTTGACTTCCCCACTGAAGGCCTGTTTACGACGCAGGGTGGTCAATACACATCATCATGAATGGGACTCAGACATAACTATCTGTTGTGTAAATGTTCCATACGGGTTTTATTCGGCAGCACAGTGACTGCACGATGTTTGGTATCTGACGGATGAGAGGGAGCTTTGAGTTCAAAGTGTTGATATAAAGGAGAAAGTGACTTTTGCTCTCATCATTGATCGATTTAAAAACTTGTTGCCAGTGAAGCCTTAATTAATGACGCTCCTCTTCTAATAACAAATCCCAATAAGCTTTCTCATCAATTCCTTTATTAAATGTTATCACAGAGCAACTGCTGCCTATATCATATCATCCAATGGGGAACATGTATGGAATGACAAGAGACTAATTTGGACATCTTGTTAATTAGGGTTTGTGTTGTGGTTGTATAAATATTGTTTGTTTTTCCTTCTTTTGAACCTCCTTTAAACGGGCTCTTTCAGTGTTTCCTGGTTTATTAAAAAAAATTATTTTCTTTGTACATCAGAGAAGATATTCAAGTAATACATTTGCAAAACCTTTAATCTGTGTACGTTGAAGTGATACGGCAATGTTCCTCTGTGACTCTGACACTTACTCAGGAATGAGACCATCATGTTAAACGGCCGTTAAATTTCCGTAAGGAGGCGCAGGTCAGCAGTAACCACAGGTTTATACAAATCAACCAGGACTGAAATCTAACAGACTCAAAGTAGGAAAATACTGAATGCCTGGAAAAAATGCAAGACTAATCTCTAATGAATCACAGTGAACTGCAGAATACTGGACTTAATGCATTAAGTTTGGTTTCTGTTATTACATCAGATAAGAATGAGATGTCATTACATGAATCTATATCTAATTACAGGTTTATAAAGTGGCTCCAGTTTCACATTATTTGAACAGTGTGACAGGTGAGTCCTCACTCTGTGACTGAGTAGGGAGCCGTGGCCTGATGAACTTATACACCGCACGCTGAGCAAGACTCACCTTTACTGTTGAGCTTGCCCAGGAACGACTCCAGCTTATCCAGCTTCATGTCTGACTCCAGGTTCAGATCTGGTATGGCCTTGATCTCTGCACAACCACACAGACACACACAGACACACAGACAGACACACACACACACACACGCCATAAATTTACATCACGTTTCATCTCAGCATGGATCTCCTCTCTGAGGAGGCGGGCTGAGCTTCTGTTGTTTATAGAGCCATCGATGCTGATGTTGTTGATTCTATGATGACTGAGCATGATTAACAGTCACAATGACATTAATGTGAACACAGTCACAAGCTTTGAATATGACTTCTTCTTCCGCTATTCAGACTCATGCATATTCATCAAAGTCAACATGGTTTAGATTCTATTAGGCTTTGGAAGCTAATAGAAGTCTCATAGCAACATCAGCCACTTTAGCGTTGATGATATTGGTGGTTTTGGTGGTGATGATGAATTGTGCATACAGTGCAACACACACAAAAAAAAGTAGGTATACACCTTCAGTATCAGACACCTCCTCCATGTCTTTTGAAAGAGAAACAAAAGGAGTCAGTTACACAGAGTCCGAATGAGATTGGGACCAGAGTCAATTCAAAAAACTGTGAATNCACATTCACAAACAGACAACATAGCCAAGCAAAAACAAGGATACCAAAGGGGGGGTAATTAATGAACATGAAGCACATTAATCCTACCCTCACACTGGAAACAAGCCTTTTACCTACACCTGCAGGAAAATTATTCTGCAGGATGCAACAAGCCTGTGAGGGCAGATGTTTCTCTCAGTAAACAAGCTTTAGAAATATTTTAGTGTCACATGAAGTTAAAATGAGTTAATACAGTGACAATTTCCTTCAGTAACTGCCACTCATTTGGTGTTCACTTAGAGAAACTTTGCTCAGTGTGTGTGTGGGGTGGGGGGTGGGGGGGTATTCGCGAGAGCACTTCACACAGTATCCACAGGGCTGGCTGAGTCACCTTCCGTCTCCAGGGGTGTTTCTCATCCACCTGCACAGGTCTGGGAGATCTGGTGGCCTTCACAACCAGAGGATGAGGAAGAGGAAGGTAAGAGAGGATGAGGATCATGAGATAAGGATGAAGAAAATAAGACAGCAGCTGTATATGGTGGGAAAAAGTCCACAAGCTAGAAGCTGCAGGGGCTGCCGTTATGCTTAGAGGCAAAGTGATGAAGCTTTGGGGCGGGGGTAAATATTTAGTGGCATAAAACAGCAAAGGACTGCAGAGCACTTGTAATCATGATGTGCTTTTGCCAAAATTGTTTAAAGCTACAACTGAAGGAGTAGAAAGAATTTAAAGATAGAGATGTAGATATTCGTGGTGAAACAGTGAAACTTGCTCAATGTACATTTTACAGATTCTCAATCAAATGATTAATAGGGTTTGTGATTGGATTTCAGAGCTTATTGAAGTAGGCTGGGGGGTGGGGGGGGCGATGCAGGCAGAAAGCTCTGGTGCAACTTCATACCTGGCTGGCTGAGTCATCAGGGGAAGGGGTTTGGAAAGGAGGCTCAGGAGCAGCAGAAAAAGTAGAAGCAAAGACTGGCTCCTATACAGGCCGCAGATAGAGGAAACACGCACGCACGCACGCACGCACACGCACGTACACACGCACGCACACGCACGTACACACACACACACACACACACAGGACATCATCAAGAGTAAAGCAGCTGTAGAGCCGTGGCAGGGATTTCTTCACAAATACTGAGGTCATGGGAAAGAGGAACCTCACCCAAGTAAGAGAGTTCATTAAGATGGTTATTAAAGGGTCAGTCCCCCTGACTTTAAACACGGAGCTCAGTTTACCAGTAATGTTTAGGGTGGAAAACAAGAAGCTTTGTCAAGTCTGAAGAAATAGCCTTTAATGTCATTCAGGTTATCTCAGTCTGTGTTCCACATCAGGGACGTGGAGCTTGAGGGATGTGGGTGTTTACCGAACAGGGAGGATCTCATGAAAGACACTATTGAGGTTTATTATTTCGTGAGTGTAGCATCACTGTTTTTGGAGCCTGACACAAACTAGGGAGTACGAGTCGAGATGACTGAGCCTGTGCTGTTCCCATTTTCACTATTTCTTTTCTTTTTTTTTTTTTTATCTATTTCAGAAAACAGCAGCCTGAAGGACTGAATCAGCTCTTCAAAAAAAACAAAAAGAACATACACTTTATTCTTTTATTTCACTGTTCACTTATACTTCATCTAAACCTTACGGCCATATGGTCCAAATGTTGTTTTAAAGCCTCCTACACCCCAAGCATCTAATTTGAGTGAAGAAAACTACATTTATTTTAAAATCATATCACTTGAGTTTTTTTGGCCACTTGAGGGCAGCAAAAACATATTATTAACAAGCATATTATTAACTTATAAAGTTTTTATGGCAACTGTTTTAGGAAATAGTTGCCTAGTTATACTGAACATCCAGCAGACACAGAGCAACATTATGGTTCAGTTTGAGTCATGTTTCTGGGCACCTGATGGATGCAAGCCTGATATTCACTCTGCTTTTAGCTCTTGACTAGTTAGCTACTAAATGTTCACTAGCTAGCCACTGTTACCTGATTTAGCTCATTTTTATTTGTTTTTTTTGTTGTTGTTTTTTGCCTAAAAAGTCAAATTTTAAGATATTTAATCTGCTTGAACTTAATAATTGGCTTTAATAAAACTGATCATATGTAATATTTGAATTATTAGAAAGTAAACTCTTCTTCATGTTATTAAACCCCTGAAGTCACATAAATGATTATTGTCCCACTCCAGCTTCCATACACAGCTCACATTACCAGTAAATATCTGCAGTAAAGTTATGTTGATTAGAGACAAATGATGGATCAATGTGAAACTTTAAACACACAGAAAACCTCTGAAAGCCAACGAGCACAATAGAGGTGAATTAGAGAAGCACATGGTATAAATACAAAACCATCACTGTAAATGTAAAGGGAAACACCCACACACACACACACACAATACCACCACCAGTAACACCACAAGTACACACACACACACACACACAAAAAACAATGGTGCATTTATCAAGACAGTGTATTAGCAGCCTGGAAATTCAGTTTAGATCACTAATCCAATTTAAATGCACTTGATAAATACCACTGCAGTGTGTGTGTGTGTGTGTGTGTGTGTGTGTGAGAGAGAGATTCCGGCCTTGCACACTGGCCTTACCCACAGCTGGTCGGACACAGCAAACTCATCGATCATCATCAGCGCTTCGTCGTCCTACAGACAAGCGGCCGCAGGAGAGAAGGGACATGTTTTCTGAAGGTGTTGTCCCGAAGGTAAAACCATGACCAATAATCACCTGATCCACTCCCTAAAAGTCCTTAAACCTTTTTCATACATCATTTTCTGAAATGCTCCTTTATGTACTTAGTTTTGTGGAAAACATCAACAGTGTGTGTGACGAATCAAGAATGGCACTTCCATCATAAACTGTGTCCCTTGGTTGAAACAACGTGAGTCTTTATTCGCTCTGCTGTTGGCTTGTGTTTGACTGCACTCCTCTTTGTGTCGGCCTCATCTTCAGTGTTGCTCTTCTTTAATTTACAACAGGGACCTGACTGAACTGTGTCCACTGGCTCTGATGAATGGGAGGATGAAAACAAGACCATCGGCTGTCCTGATCTCTAATAGTGATCTCATGAACATTTATTTTTACTGATTTGATTAAAAACATCATGTGATTTGTAGGGGAAAAAAAGCATCATTCAAAAAGGCACCAGAGTCAAAGCAAAGCTCTTCCTGACCTTCAGTGACCTGAAAACCTGAAATCAGAATGTGTGCAGACAGAGCCGTCGAGCCGAGCTGAACAAACTTTGATAAGCAGCTGGAAACAAAAACAGCTGTGGACGGTAGCTGTTGTGAATACGTCTAAACAGAGAGGTACATGTACCGTCAAACCCCACCCCTCCCTTCAAAAACACAGCGAGGAGGTCAACACAGAAACACACTCAACATGCAGAGGAAGAAATGACATTTATTTTATTTCTTTCTTTTTTAAAGTAAGAGGACATGCAAGCAGAGACAAAGGCAAACAGAAGAATGAAAGGTTACATGCAACATGCAGTCCACTGGAAATGAAGGTTGAAGCCAGGCATGACAAAATACAGAGGCTACATTACACTGGACGGTTAGTCAAACAATGTAAATAACCTTTCTCTGATATTTCAGTAATTTAGGCAAAATCAGGCTTTTAAATTCATCTTAATTTACTCTAATCTTGATCATCTCTAATCAAAACAACCATAACAAATACTGATACTCAAGAGAAAATTAAGCTGAAAATAAGTATGGAAGCCTACAGCTGCTACTATTAGAATACTTTAATAAAATTTTCCATTTGTGTTTGCATGCTGTATGACTGTTATGGATAATGAAGCCTGATTATAATTAATATTAAACTGAAATAGCCTTTTTTATTTCATTTACATGGTCACTTTATACACTTAAAATATAAGAAATTTAAATAAATTCAAATGTAAAGTTTGCAATTTAATTTTCAAATTTAGGGTGCACATTATCAGCCTATTTGAAACCATATTCAATTTCATTATCTTTTGCTATTATGTATTTTCATTTGCAAATTTATTAAATCTTTTTAATATCTACTATCATTTTTATGTCATATTACGTTTTTTGTCATAAATTATACAAACACAAGTGGAAATTGAAATCTCAATCAATTTCCTTCAGATTACTTGAATTATTTCATTAAATATCAGCAGCCATAAATTTCTATATCTAAGGAATAAAAACAGCATGCACCATAAAAAATGTAAATGGACCAGATACTACAGTAAAATGTATGTTCTATTGTCATGAATGGAATAAATGCAGATGAACTCTTGATACAGGTCAAGCACAAAAACATGCAACAGCTTGTGAGACAGAGGAGAAGAAAGAGACAAAGACACAAACATGGACAATACACAACCTCTCTGTTTAGAGATATCCTAAACTGTTACTACCTGTTACCTGAGCTGATTAATCAACGGTTCTGAGCTCTTTGACTTTAGAGTTACATTTCAGCAAAAGATGAAAAAAAAACCTCTTTAATGAAGAGCCTGACATCAGAGGCTGATACAGGAAATGCTTCAAATCAAATTACGGAAACCTCAGTGGCATGTTGCTGCCACTTTATTAGTGCTGCATTCAAGTCTCATGGGCATAAAGTGATGGAGTGACAGTTAAAAGCTGCTCCCTGGAAGTGTTTATGTGTTTGAACTTGTCTGAAGACGCCATTATGGGAATTTAAAACACAATTTGACAGCTTCTAATAAGTAGGAAGAAGTTCAAGTGGGACACTATCATTCTTTTAACCTGACATGAATGCAGCATACAGTCATGAAAAACACGATGCAACAGACACAACAGACTGTCTCAGGCCTGTCTGTGGTGTTTGGCTGTGAGTGTGCAGATCAGGTGGTTACCTTCTTCTTGAAGCTCTGCTCCACCTCCCAGAGCTGAGTGTGCTGCTCACCCACGGCAACATTCACCACATCCTGCTTCTTATTGATCCTGTTCCTCCAGTCCTCCTCACCGCTCTTCTTCAACAGGGCAACTCTGGGGGCAAAGAAGAGGGCAGAAAGTGGGGAAACGTTAATGTGAAATTCATATTAGAGGAGAAAACTGCTCAAATATTCAGTAAGCTGAAGGAAGACGGGATGAGATGCACTTCACTCAAAATCCTGATTCACATGACTCAAAACCAAAAAAAGTGGGTAATGGGAACCAGAAACTTTATTTATGATTTAGATGAAAATTATAAATTGAATAAATGACTTACAAGAAAAGATTTTCAACTGCATTTTTGCCAATTGTGAGACTGATGTTGATATTTAAAAACCATAACTTCTCACTTGAGAACAAAGAGGAAGCACAATGAAAACCCTCTGTTTGCAAACCCACGTTTTGTGGCTTTTATCTGACACTAGCACCATGCCAACACCCCACTGTAATAATATTTCCAAATTTAGTCAAGGAAATTTTGCTGTTGTTACAACAGAAATCAAGTTCTGGGGCTGGTATGAAACTTACGTAACTAAACAAATAGTCGGACATTTTGAGAAATACGCTTTTTTTTTTTTGCCAAAAATTAGATGAGAAGTTCAATACCTCTTTCATGTCTGTGATATAACAGTGCATGAAATGAAGAGAGACAGACTGCTGCACAAGGTAAGCAGTCAGTGACCGTCTCATCTACGGGACAGTTTGCAGAAACGATAACAGACACTAAGCAGAGGCGGTCAGAGTGTCATTTAGCAGGCAGCACAGTCAGAAATACTATACAGTGCTGCACCAAGGATAAACAGACTGGTGACAGCTACAGTGCAATTAGACATAAACATCACTTAGAGACGTCAGTCAGTGTAAGTGGAGCTGGGACGGTGACGAGCTTTGGTTTACACAAGGAGTTAAAGCAACAGAAAAGATGGGTTTTATTTTAGCCAAAGGTAATTTAGACAAAACAGTGACATAGAATCACTATGTGGACTTACAGTGTTTTAAATATGGAGTTGAGGAAAACTGGGATTACATATAATACACATGTATGATCACAAACTGAAGTGTTCTATGGTGGGACGAGAACAGAGGGTCAATTATTGAGCTCTCATCTCAAAACAGGGAGCAGACAGCCATAAGGGAGGGGTCAGGGTGTTGGCAGTGCCCTCTGCCCCTCTTACAACCACCCCCCTCTGTGACCCAGTGAGGGTACGTCCTGTTCTGCCCCAGGGGCTTCTCCACAGTGCCAGACACAGAATGAAAGTAACAGTGAATAGATGTCAACAGCTGCAACTGGGAAACAGATCCCGCCTCCAGTGAAATACTTTGAAACTGGGGAAAAAAAAAATAAAAACTTGAAGGAAGAAAAATGTGACCGGAGAGTGCGACAAGCAGAGTGGAACAGATAAAACAGACACACACACACACACACACACACACACACACACACACCCTTTAACAGCAGTTTACATGTAACTCCATTATGTCATCAATCAATTTAGTGCGAGTGTGATCGCCAGTCAAACCAGAGGCTGTGACGTAACTGGACTTATGCAATTGTTGCATTCGTTAAAGGAATCCAATACTGAGCTTCGGTTAGAAGTTGTACAATTTCCACTACGGAAAATACCAACAAGTACTGTGTGTCTGTTTGCATCCACAACCTGATGTCTTCTTCCTCTGGGCCACAGAAATTCACTGTTGATCAAAAACTACAAAAAAATACACACCAGTGAGCCACAGTGCTGGCCTGGATGAAACACTCCTTTATGTTTATTTTGACTGACACGCCCACACACACCCACACACACACACACACACACACCAAATGTGTATTAATCTGCAGATGATACTATTCTCGAGTATTGAGTGACGAACCAACACATTGTTGGTTTTTGTCTTTCATGGGATTTGTGGACAGTAACAAAAAAACGCAAAAAAAAACACTTGAGCATTTAATTAGTTTTAGCATTTAATGAGCTACAGAGGATATCTAATTATCTCATTAAATTAGCTTTTGTGGCCTCATGCACTAAAGTTTAGTCCATCTATTCCGTATCCAGCTTACTCCTCATTTTGGAGCAGCACAGAAGCAGTGGCCTAAAATAAAACACTAATAACCAACTAACTCACTCTGTTGTGTCCTCATGATCTCATTTTCTGTCTCCATCTGACCCACAGAGGAGGAGAGGGAAACTTCTCTTCCCTCAGCCTTAGTCTTTTTTTGACTGTATTTACCAACCAAATGATCCAGAAGGAGAGTATTTTAAACCAAGCCTAGAATAAACCCCAGCTGACCAGGCTCACCTCTCTTTGATGGACATGTGTCTGGCCGTCATCATGTCGCTCATTTCGTCTCCCTCCTCAGGCTGAAGCAGGTCGTCTGTGTATGTGTCCTCTTCTGCTGCTGGAGGCTGACACACAGTCTTGGCCAAACCAGATGCTGCTGTGGATGTTGCCACCAGCTCTGTGAACATGAGCAGACAAGGGCACACAAAGGAGTGAGTAGACTCAATGACTGCACTGATGTCAACAAGATTCCCACTGTGGATGGACTGCTGAGGAATGACTACACCACTTTAAAGATCCCATATTGTATAAAGTGAGATTTCCATGTCCATGTCTTCTAAGTTTCTATATTAATACTGTGAAAGTATCAAAGCCTCAGTCCACAGAGAAATGCACACAGCCTGTATTCAGAAACTGAGCCTTAAAACCAGCCGTCAGGATTTCTGGAACTTTGTGATGTCACAACAAAGCAGTTCTCAAAACCACAAATATATCTTCGTATAGATCAACACTTCAAATAAAACACTAAATGTGTCCAATTTAGTACCTTTAAATAAACACCTTCTTCCTAAAAGTGCATGTCTACAAAGGTTTACATAAAAATACGGTCATCGCTCTCAGAGAGGAAACTCAGCAGCAACAGCAGCGTGAGAACAAATGATTTTCACTCTTACCAAGAGGCTCTCATCGGCCGGTGAGAAGCAGCGCAGACACTTTTCACAGCTTTAAAGGTCCCTGTCACAGCTCAAATCAAATCACTCACGCTGGTTTGTACAAGCATTGGAGCTCTCTTGTCTATTCACTACTGCTTTATCTCTGTCTGTGCGTCCATACTGCTCTTATCACTCTGCCCCCTCTCCACTTTGTCGTGCATAAAACTGAATTTCTACTCTCTCCGATAAGTTCCACACCGACACAGAGACGGTCGACGTGTCTGGTTCAAAGTTGCTGCAGCTCAGACAAAACGGAAGCCTGAAAACCACAAACCTGAACGTAAACTTTTCACAGATGACACACGCGCACACGCACACACACAAACACACAGGAAATATGGTTGAGTGAGAAATGGCTGTTGACTGAAACCAAAACCATGGTTTATTCAGTCTTATAATTTGCTCTTTAAATATTTAAAGCCCACTTCATCCTCTTAGAAAAACATCACTTTAGTTTTTTTTGTTCACAACCACTTTTCAATTTCTCAAATTGATTTTCGCAAGATTTAATATATAAATATATATATATTAAATCTTGCAAAAATCTGTTTTTTCATGCATTTTGCAAAAAATGCAAAAAAAATTTTCATAGTAGATTTGGTTTAAAATTCCTTACAAAGTATGATATGGTACAAACGTTGGAAAGGCGGTGAAATAATGTAATTTGTAATTTCTGAAAAAGATAAAGTTCACGGGAAAAAAGTTAAAAAAATAAAAATAAAAAAAACAACCTTGTTCAAGTCTATTTCAGTTCCCTCTCTTACCTCCGCTGACGACCCCGCTCCTCTGGATGTCAGGGTAGTGTCCTTCCTCCCTCAGATACCCCCTCTGCTCCTGCCTCTCCAGCAGCATGTGGCTCTCTGAGCTCTGCACGGCCCCCTCTCCCCTCCCTCTGGACAGCCACTGCTCAAACTCCTCCTCCTCCTCCTCCTCCTCCTCCCCCCTCCTCTCTCTTCCAGTATGGGGCTGTGGCAGAGTGGCCTGCCTGACTGATCCTTCAGGAGAGGGCAGCTTCCTTTTCCCTCCGCCCAGGTCTTCTCCCTGGGGCAAGCTTCGGTACCTCTGGTGGTCCACGGAGTCCTGGGACATCCAGGCCGGGCCGTCTGGGTGCTGAGGGGGCAGAGACCTATCAGAGCTGGGAGGGAGGTTTTCCACCCGCGCTGCTGGTGCTCTGGTTATGTGGATGTCTCCAGCGTGGTCAGTGGACACTGTGCCCCCAGCCGTCAGTGCAGAGGCGGACGACGAAGATGGGAGGTGTCCGAACCGAGAGCCTGCACCATTCTGAAGCTGTGGACCAGGGAGGTGGAAAGAAGTGGGTCAGTTTGCCACAGAGGCTGAGAAACAGGTCAGGAAAAGTGCACACGCGCACAAAACAGAGAGAATCACGCTGACTAATCACCGCCTGCCTGACTCACTGCACTTCCTGAGCATCAAAGGGCAGCCTATCTCGCCGGTCAGTTGCAGCCCACATCACAAAGCCATGCCAGCAAAACCCCCCCTACACACAATGCAACCAGCTTTAGCCAAAAGACACACTCTCTTATGACCATTAAATACAAGTATCAACATGTGAAGAACAAACCTTATATTTTTGTTGAGAAACACATGAGCAACAGTAAACATCCATGGAATGAACTAAACTGTTGAGAAAACTCGTCCTTTAACTTCTTTTTCCTTTAACTTCAGTTTTCTCTCTTCTCCCTGAAACGGCTGCTGGTTGAGCTGATGACAAACGGCCGCTTTCAGTCCGTGAACAAGAGCTGAACTACTTCTGTTCTCCTCTCTTGCACCACAGAGGCGTCTTTCAAGCTGAAATACGGCCGGCAGCGTCATCCATCCACACATCACAGCCTCATCACTGACACAGTGGGATGATGAAGAGCTGAGTCAGACCTTTATCAGAAGCTCGGCCATGCACTGTACATTCGTAATCATACAACATAGAGATGGGCCAAAATAAATAAAAAAAGAGATGCCATACAGAGCATGATGTTCTCAGAAATGTACGGGCATTTCTGAGAAGAGTGCTCCAGCTGCGTCAGCCTCCCGTGTCTCAGGCAAATGCACAGTGGTTGTTCAGAGGAACCTTACTTGTAGGTGCTCTACTGGGCTGTCACACAACTCCTGCTCATCCCTGATGTCTATGTCTGAGGAGTCCTGGAGCAGAAACACGCACAAGCTGCAATACTTCATGTATTTTCGATTTTCATAATAATAATTTAAATTTCAACTGTCTGAAACTCTTTGGCTTATTATACTTAATATTTGTATCGTAATATTTATACTTGTGGTAGATGTCAACATCTCTTTTTACTATAAAGCAGGTCTAGGTTCTATATCAATACTGTGAAAGTATCAAAGCCTCAGTCCACAGAGAAATGCACACAGCCTGTATTCAGAAACTGAGCCTTAAAACCAGCCGTCAGGACTTCTGGAACTTTGTGATGTCACAAAAGGTCCCTGCTCTCAGCCATTCCCCAAGCCCCGCCCACCTGGATCCACCATCCAGCCCTGCAGGATTTGGTTTCTCTGAGAGTTTTACCCGAAATCTGCTATATTTTTATCGGATCACTCAGAAAACAGTCAGCCAATCAAAAGAGAGGCTAAGAGCCTCCTCTCTTCTGATTGGCTCATGAGATCATATCTCCCATGCACTGGTCTCCCTGCACTGGTTACCAGTAAAATGAAGACACTATACCAGCTTACATCTCCAACCTCCACAGTCTGATCAGTTACTTCTCACAATTATTTGTCCCCACTTAAAGTCCACTTATTGCCCATCTGTCCATCCTGGAGGAGGGATACCTCCTCTGTTCCTTTTGTTGGGGGTTCTTATTCTTCCCACACTTCTTTCTTTTTCTGTTTCATTATGTCTAGAGGAGTTTCTCCTGGTCTTAAATATTGGGTCTAAAGATAGAGGATGCTGTAAGTCATGTAAAGACAATGTAAAGCCTGCTGAGGCAAATTTTGGATTTTGAGCTATATCCAGTTAACTTCACTTTGATTTCGAACATTTTTTTTACCTGTTTTCTTTAAAGAGAAAGAAAGTATATGTGGTTAGAAAATCTTGTTATTTGTCTGGTTGAACTGCATATTACCCTGCTCCTCTCATACCTGCTCCATATCTCCCAGTGTGATGGGCTGTGTCTGGTAGCGAGCGTTGGACCTGCGCTGGCGCGTGTCCCCTCTGGTGCGGGTAACCCTGGTTGGAGGCTGAGCCAGCCGGTTGAACAGTGCCATCTTTTCTGCCAGGCTGAGGGTGCAGAGGTCTGGCTCCTCCTGACCCTGACCCTGACTCTGAGTCTGAGTCTGACCCTGGTCTTTTCCCTCCATCGTGGACACCGGCTTGGAGCCCTGGGCCTCCTGTGTATCCTGCATCAACCACGCCTCCCGCGCCTGCTCCTGGGCGGCGGCGCTCTGCTGTGAGGATGCCTGCAGGCTGGGGGAGGATGAAATCCAAGAGAGAAAGAGGTGGGAGAGAGGGAGACTTCTGGTAAGCTTGGAGGGAACTCATGCAAGCTAGAAAGTGGCGTGCTACATGGCAGACAGCAATGTGGAGCTGTGCGACACCCGATTTAAAGAAAGGGCAAACACAGGCGGAGTGAGTCATGCCCACGGCAAACAAAACGATGACAAAGTTCAACCCTTCTAGTCGTCTGAATCAGTCAGTAATTCAGTCGTGTCGTTTCCTCCGATCACACACGAGGGCACCAAAACATCAAGAAAACTGTGCTGTGGTGAATGAGCAGTAAACAGGTTAGTCACACACTGCAGGTTGGCTGTAAGTTGGTATTCATACCCGTGCACACACGTATGTGCCGTGTACCTGTACGGTGGGACAGTGCTGCAAACTAGGGTGGGGCTAGGGATGCGAGCTACAGCAGTGTGAACACTCGCCGTTTGTGGCACATGAGAGGGAACGCTACAGTGGTGAAGGGGAGAGAGAGAGACACAGACACACACGCACGCGCGCACACGCACACACACACACACACACACACACACACACACACACACACACACACACACACACACAGGTGACAGAGGGAATGAACCAGGTGATGAAATGAAGAAGAAGAAGAATAACTGAAGCTAATGGAGCTGCAGTTTACAGCATGTTATAGAAGAGACAGTGAATACATCAGTGGTCTGACAGAACGTCTGGAGGTTAAGAACAAAATTTCATTTCAGATTTCAGGGAGAGTTTCGCAAATGAAATTTTGAATCATGTGCAGAGCAGAAAATATGACAGATTAGTCATCAGGTACAGAAAATGAGAAAATGTTGCGGCATTATGTGATAAAGTACAGTTGAGTGAAATTCAATTTGTGGTTCCCACAATTAAAAAAATCCTACAGAAACTTTACTCCTTACAAAACTAAAGGTCCGCTGGATAATCTGAACTGACCTCTGAAAACATGGACAAATAAAAGCAGCTGTTTGGATGGCAAAATACAGATAAGTAAAAAAATGGGGTTTTTTTGGTAATTTGGGTGCACTGAACCTTTAAAGCATGTTAGGTGTACTTGATTTAAAGGAATGACTTTGGGAAAATGAACTGATGTGCTTTCTTGCCTTCATAAGAGTTACATGAGAAGCAAAGCAGAGACTTACGTGGCGGCGATGACTACTTCTTCAGTGGTGACGGGCTGAGTTCTGGATCGGTCCTGGGTTCGCCTCAGTCTCCTGTCCACCGCTGCGTTCCTGGATCGAGGTTTAGGAGCTCCGCCATCAATGCTCTTCTCTAGTTCCTGGATGGAAACATTTATTACATTTTCTTTACAAGTCGATGGAATATTTCACCTCACCGTCAGAGTTAACTCTCGACTGTTGAAACATGAGCTTCACAGACTTCAACAAAGGAATATTAGCATTGAAAGTGACAGCGACTGAATCGGCTACTGGAGGAGATAAACAGCTGAAGAAATCAGCATAACAGTGACTAAAGACAGAAGAATTAGCTCATTAAGATCATATCAAAGCTCTCAGGCAGTTTAAGTATCTATTGACTTGAGCTGAAACATGTTTGGGGTCAGTTTCACAGATGTGCAGTGAAATGTTCTGCAATAAAATGCTCTCTTTAGTCTGATCCCTGCCCGAGATCAAGCTCAATCATGAGTATCTACAAGTTCTCAGCTCTGAGTCCTCACAGTGATGAGAGGACAGAAGAGGAAAAAATCAGACAGAGTCAATTTCCCGCCACTGATTGGAAGCACGTTCCTCCTCGTTGTCCAGAGCCAGAATCTATAGAAGCGAGAGGACGAACAGCTGATTGAAGTTGAAGCTCACCCTGAAGAGAGAGCGCTTGGCTGCTACGCTCAGCTTGGCCCGTTCATCCAGCTTCTCTTCATCAGCTGCAGAGCGAGAAGGTTAGAGAAGAAGACATCTGGATATTAGAAACTTCTCCATAAAGAATGATGGTCAATAACTTTTGATTTGATGAAATGATGCATTTGGGTTTTAATATTTCACAGAGTGTCGACATCATATATGTTGGAACCATCCAACACAGAATAGATGTGATGCTGTCAGAAAGAGGCAGAATATGATCATTTCACCTTAAGGCTACTTAAGGAGAAATAAAAACATTAAAGGGGTTTCAAACGGGGAATTCACTGATTTTATGCATAAATGTGAGTCTAGTCATCATGGAGGGTATTACTTATATCCTGTGATACAGTTATATGATGTTTCTGAGCACAAGTGTAAAAAAAAAAAAAAAAAAGTATTAACCCTGAACCAGTTCTTGGTAGATGATGCCATGAAGGTTAACTGGGCTTATGAAACGGGGTTTTATTTTTTTATTTTTTTATCAGAACACCTGTGTAACTAATCAGAAGAGAGAAAATGTTTAAGACCATTTTTCATTAATTTTAAAACAAGTCTGTTTTCAACCAACTCATGGAGCTAGTGTTAGATTAATTAGCTGGCTAGCTAGAGGTGCTGAAATCAACAGTTCATCAGTTAGAAATTAAAAGCCTGCTTTAGTCTATGTCGCTCTGAAATCCAGGACCCATTGTTTATAGAAATACTAAGAATTTTGAGCAGTAGCTCTGCCATCTTGATCAATGTAAACTACATGTATATACTGTACGAGAATGTGAAGCTTGACAAGGGTAGAAACAGTCATTAATGGAGGCGGGGCTTAGTGAACAGTTATTTTTGCTCCACAAATAATATTTTATGGAAAAACCTGATTTTCATGAAACTGGTGCAAAATCAACTGCATGACATTCATAGTGTAAATATGAGATATGGTGTTTTAAACACTTGACTGCGACGTCCTCTGCACAACAGCAAATACACTGAAGTGCAAAACTCCTGCAAGATTCAACAAGACTGCACTTGTCGCGTCTGAGAAATATTTTATCTATTGTGATAAAAGACGACTTTCTCTTTTCTAAGCAACAAGTCGTAAGTGTAAAGTGATTAAAATCCTCTGTTCACCATCGCTATCAAAACCACCAGCTGCATCTGGCTTCATCGCTGGGAGCAAAGATAAACCACTAAACCTGTGACTGAGGAGACTATGCAGAGCTAGACAGGTGTGAGAAACTTTGCTGCGTGCGTGCGCACGCGCGCACACACACACACACACACACACACACACACACACACACACACACACACACACACACACACGCACACACAGTCTCTGCAGGACACATGACATGACATCACCAAACAACTATTCCCTTTGACTGACGCCGCTGTGCTGAGCTCTGCTCCCTCTAATTCTCGTCAGTGCAGGAAGTGTCCCGGCTAAAGTTTGTGCTTATGAGAAGCAGATGAGCTGGTTCTGCGCTCAGTGGTGCTGCTGTGCTGTTATGCTACTGTAAGCACCAGTAATGACTCCATAAACTCTATGTGCTTTTCTGTTAAAAAAAAAAAAAAAAAAAGACCTTAAAAAGATTTGAATCATTTGGCCTCCACCCTCGTGTCTATTCTTGGAGCTTTGAAATAAAGCCACTGGAAAGTCACATTTTAGTCATTTGTGTCTGAATACAATTGTGAAGCTCCAGATTATCACATCAATTGTGTTGTTTTGACTGGTAAACGTACACATCACGGATAGATACTGTTTAATACCATTAAAGTATGGACTGAAAATTATATCTCTCTAAACACTGAAACACTCAGCTGATGCATAAACTTCACTGGTTGTTTTTCGCATCACCATAATCTCATCAGCTCAGCCCGTCCCAAGACAAAAGACTGATGAAATTCAATTTACTCAGAGAGCTGTGCTGCATCTGTGAATCACAGGGCAGTCAGCTTCTCATCCTTTAAAGAGCCCAAATACGACATTAATGTCGAAATGATGCCATGAAACAAAAAATATGCCCATATTATTCAATGCCTTAGTTTTACCACTATAAATATTCCATTGAACATAATGCAACTGAAAATAGTCCCAGCCACGCATACACATTGGTCAAACACATACTGATAATTCCATGCTGATTATTTAAAGCTAGTCATGCTTAATCAATTACTTCTCCAACACTGGAGTCCAGAGGTTACAGTAGTTCATAAGCTTTACTTGTGTTTGTTACAGCACAGTAGATGTGTTTGGAGAATCTGTGTCAGAAATGTCTATACACATATACATCAACACGTTTGCATTCGAATGTATACTTAATAATACTATAGTGCACTATAATATACTATATTCTATAAACCTTCAAATCTTTGCCAAGACACGTTCCGGAAAAAAAACAACTTACCTTCAGCGGAAGCAAAATCTGTGCTCACACAGGACCTTTAAAAGCACAGACAGAAAAAAAGAAAAGACAGTCAGCAAAATCTCTTAATGTCCGTGCAACCATGCATAACACAGTGAAATCAAAGCGTGGTGAGGTGTGTCAGGGACAGGAAGGAGAAAAAGGACTAGGCACATAGGAGGCGAAGGAGATGCAGTGAGAATCGGTCGTTTCTGCTGAGCGGGGAAAGTGGCGGTGAGCGAGTGTTAGCAGCAGAAATGAAACAGTCCAGTAAAGCAGACTAAGACGGAGAATTAGACGGCATTACAGAAGTCCGTTCAGTTCCATGGTCTCAGTGATTTCCAACAAAGGCCAATTCATGCCTCCTTGGTATGGTCACATGTGATGACCACTGCCAAGGCCCAATCAGAGGGACCTTTGGCCTTTAAGCTTCACTGTTTGCTAATGTTGTTAGAGTGAGGGGGCAAAATCAAGGGGAGAGAGAGTGTGTGTGTGTGTGTGTGTGTGTGTGTGTGTGTGTGTGTGTGTGTGTGTGATCCAGCTCATGGTATTAATGTGCTTAAGGACTTTGCTACATGCTATAGAAATATCTATTGTTCACTAACAGCATGTACTTTAAGATTACTCAGGATAGTGCATCAAAACCTGATTAGAATCAGCATTTATGTGCATCAAATGTGATAAAAATCAACAATATCTCATGATTTCTTTGACATGCATGATCTTATGGACATTTCCCAGCATTCCTCACTCTCAGCCATGCATTCTTGAGTCCAGAGCAGTACCTATCAGTCTCCTGGCGCTCAGCAGACGTGATGGGCTGAGTCCTAAACCTCTCTGAGGTCTTTCTACTCTCCCCGGGATTGATATACTGCCGGGGCCTGCGCCCCCTGTCCCTTTCCCCTCTCCAAGGGGCCTCGTAGCCCGCAGGTGCCCTGTCCCCTTCAACCTCACTGCAGGGGCCACCCAAGGAGAGGGACCGACAGACAGAGTACCCAAAAGAAAGAGGAAATACAGTAAAGTGAGGGAGAGATAGAGAGGGACGGGAAGCAAAAATGGTTTCGGAGCAGAGGGATAAGTTCGATTATTCAGTCACACCCCTGGTTTTTAAATCAAGTATGTGAGCGAGGCCATGCAGGTTTAATAACAGTTAAAGCATGCACATGTTCACTGGCCGCAGGTAGTGACTGAACAAGCCACAGCGCCAAAAAAATCTAGAAAAAACTAACTGCAGGAGGCTTAGTGTTAGGTGATTAATGCATGAACGCCATTTCTACAGATTAGAAACTCTGCAATACAGTCATTGTGCTTTGATGTTAACTCCACACTCAGCTGCTTGTTAGTCATTCAGTAGCCAGCCGATGTTAGGTAACAAGCACCAGTATCAGCTCCTTAGCAGCCAGCGGTGCAGCGTTTCACTTTGCCACCTACAGCTCGTTCCTGCGCCTGGCTGGAGGGGTGGTGGTGCTCTCCATGTAGGAATGTCTGAGCTGGGCCACAGACACCCGGGAGTCTTGGTGACTCTCTCCATTGCTGAACGCTTCACCCTGCCTGAGCTCTCGAGGGTCGTGGGTCTGGTGCTGCAGGTTCCTTTGACTGGGCTCCATGGCGTCTGACACGGTGCGGCTCAAGGCGGTGCTGGAGGTGGAGCTTCCTGCGCCTGCATGTGCCGCTCTGGGCTGGATGTGAGTTGCGGGCACCCCTTTGGGGATGTAAAAGGGGTTTTCCCTCTCTCTGGACCTGCTCTCTGCTGCTTGCAGACGGGAGCTGTGCTCAGTTTCGTCCCACCTGGCTCTCCCTCTGTGTCTGTCTCTTCCAACATCCTCTGTCTCGGCCTCTCTTGGCTGCCTGAGGCTTTGCACCTTGGACATCCCCGTGTCCTCTTCCCCTCTTCCTCTCCGTGGGTCTTCAATGCTTCTCTCCCTACGGCGGATCTCCGAGGGCAGCACTGCCTTCCTACTCCTCAGGAGGCCCTCTGTCTTCACATCCTCCGTCTCCTCAGTCTCCTCCTCCTGGGCCTGATGCTGCTGCTGCTGCTGCCCGCCTCTGCAGGTGGGACCAGAGGCCATGGAGAGGTAGCTGGGGTAACCAACAAGTTCTTGTCCTCCAGCTTGCCCAGGTCGGGTGAGCTGAGCCTGGGTGTGATGGTGGGGGTGGGTCTGGGACTGGTGCTGAAATTGTCTGCGGTATACTGGGGCTTCTGTAACATTTCCCAGCTCTGGGCTCCTCTGGCGGCCCTCGTCCCTGGCCAGCCTCTCCCTAACTCTGATTCTTCAAGGAAACAAAGGGCTGGTTAACATTCGTACGACAAGAGCAGATACAGTGTGTTAAACTCATACAGATGATTTTTTTTAAAGGCAAACAAACACAGCACTCAACTCCTGCTCTGATCGAGATGAAACTTTGTGTCTACACCTTTCACGATGAAGGGGGGAGCAGGTTCTTTCTCCTGTCTGATACGAGGCCTGTGCATCAAACTTCAGTACCTTTTGAAAAATAACCGATATGTCTCCAAATACTGAAAGTTGTCAAAGTTGACGTAGAATTCTTGTTCAGATTTTTAGTCTCATTTGTTCAAACATTTCCTAAATCATAACTTTGATAAGTTTAAACTATTTGCCTCATTTTATTTGGGGAAACATTCGTGTGTTTGAGCTGCTAAAACATGAAATATTGACACACTAAGAAGTTTGTATTTTTGTAGATTGAGAAAAGAGAAAAATAAAATAAATAACCACTTTCCTAAGTCAAGGTACATGAAAGTAGCTGCATCTAATGATTTTATTAATTAATGATTTTGGACTCTGCCTTTTTTTCCACTGCCTTTATTTACAGGCTAAGCATTATATGAATATGACGTATTGATATTTTCAGAAAATGTTGGGCTACTTAGAAACACACTATCAATACGCATGTAAGTTGTACTAAACATGTTTATTGGGCAGTTTTATCCAATCTGAGTTTTCTGCTACAGATTTTCAACAAAGGGCACATATCTGTATATGAGCTCTTATTGTTATTCTTTTTCTTACTTCTGTTTGGGATAATCATGGGCTTAGTTTTCGAACAATTTCCACTGTGGGATACAAGCAGGAAGTATAATGCTGCCATGGAGACATTAGATTAGCTAAGGGCTACACATAAAGCCCCTTTATTTGGCCTGTATTTGTTTACATGGTAAATTTGCACCATTAAAAGTATGTATAATCAGCTATTAGTAATTCATAATTGTAATTTAACCATGGATGTACAGATCACTGGATTACTGTGAAACTGCAGAAAACTACATCTAAAGTTATAAGGAGCGTCTTTTTTTCTATGATTTCCAAGCACATGATTATCTGTGATGGACACTGCAGATATTCAAGTCATGATGAATCTAACAATAAACATCAGTTTTAGTATTGTTACCATAACTCTTATTGTATTTAAGAAGAAAAGAACTGAGAGGATTGTTCTTAATACAAACACAGGCCCCGAACCTATAGTCACTGATGTAAGGTCAGAATTACAGAAGTAATACTGCGGCATCACTAGCCAATGTTTTGTCCTTCATTAGTAACATGTTCCTTTTAACATTTGTTTTCACGTGGGTATTAAACTGAACACAGCAACATATGCATGGGGGATGAAGTTATTGTCCAAAGCAAAGGCAACAGGAGCTTGTGACAATGATGAGGATGATGAATGATGTCATGTCAGCCGACTCTCAAAGCTCAAAAGCAGAGTTTCTTAAACATCTGTGTGTCTTCTGATCAGCCCAGGACCCAAACTGAGCAAACGCAGTTTCACCCTGAAAGATTACTGATGTAGGTTTTGAAGGCAAAAGTATTTGGTCCTGTCCTGATCCACAGTTTAAGAAGCACTGCTCATTGATGGGTTTTTGGTAAGTTTTGCCAAATGGGAACACGGCAGGTGGGGAGACACAACCAGCCTGGGTGTACCTCGATGGCCAGTTGATGAGGGAGTGGGTGTCGCCCTCAGCATCAGTCTGGAGGAACCAATCAGTGCTGAGCATCGCTCTCGCACTGTGCCAATGGAAACCCGGCAGGAGACATGAGAGTGAGTGATTGAGTGGGTGAGTAATAGTCTAGATTTCACGTTGAGCTCTGTTCTTGGAGCACACACAGGCACATTACTACATTACACACACCACTGACTTCACACTGAGCTCGACCAGAGGGAGAACGGGCTTGGTCATCAGCAGGATCCTACTCAGAATACAAGTTCAACTCCCTGGTGAGGCATTTCATTGTTATTATGGTTTTGGAACACGCATCACACAAAAAATATTATAAAATATGAACAATAACAGTCTTGTTAAAAGGAGCTATTTGTAAGTTTTGCTATTGCTACATAGCCAACGTTAGCCTTAACAGCTGTTCAGCATCAAACTTCATTAATTTACTCGCCAAGACCTGTCTCCAGTGGTGGAAATCAACCTTTCACTCTTCTTTCCTTCTACTGAAGTTAGCATGCTAACAAGCTATCCCCAGCCCAGTTGGCCCATCTCGCCATTTTCCGATACAGAGTCACTGGAGCGTCCAGTATGCCCTGAAGAAGTAGCGCTGATCCTCTTGTCTTGTAAACGCAACAATGGCTGAAGCTCTTGGTAAGACTGTGAAGTAAACAGCTGTTAATGCTAACGTTAGCTATGTAGCGATAGCAAAACTTGCATATAGCTAAATGAAGAGCAACTGCTACTAAAGCAGAATTTACATGTTTACTATGTTATCAATGCATCATCACTGTAGCTTTCTAACTAACTGAGCTCTTATCTACTGCAGCAGATTTTCAGAGGAAATGCCATCTCACTCCAACAAAGCCAGGAGGCAGATGAGTCATCCAGGCTCTCTGACGCTGAATAAAGATAAACAGCCTGAACTGTTTCATTAAGCTCCGTCAGAGTTCAACTCCAAGCATTTAGAAATCCAAAATCTTTTTACTGCTACCAAGGCCAAAGACAACGAGTTATATCTGAGGGGAAACAAACCACCTCCGAAATTATACCCAGTCTGATGCGGTCAGTCCTGATCACATGGTACATGATAACCATTACTGCAGGATCAGCATCCTGGAAACTGAATGGTTAAGGCACGTGACATATCGGACTCCAGCCTTGGACCTGGATGGCATGTTATATATCTGTCTCTCCCTTTGTTTCCTGTCTGATGCTGCCCTTAAAAATCTTTATAATTATGATAATGATGACAACAATAATAACAATATCATCATGTTGTTGCTTAAAGCATTTTGGATTAGGTCTAGTTATCCGAAGCTCAAAGTAAATCTACTTCGAGTTGGGTCTGGCTGTGCTCCGGTCCCCTATGGCTTGATTCTCTTGGTTATTCATGCGCATTGAGTCAAGGTAGATTTTCCATGAGTCCCTGTTGGATCAGGTCCAACCCGTAAAGACCTCTTCTGTGAACTCTCACTACAGCAAAGCCAGTTTACCAGTGCTACATATAATTAAGAAAATGTCACGGGGGAGAGCATTGGTTTTTTCCCCTTAAAAACACTTAATTCTGCAAAATTAAAATGATAAATCAGAGAGGGAAAGCTTTATTTTCTATTTAATGGGACAGATCATCTTGTTCTAGGAGTATATTTCTCATACTGTAAAGAATAAATAACCACAGATTATACACCACCAGGAGCAATGTAAAGAAGATGTTGCCACATTGACGATTGACAGAATCCTAAAAGACCAGTTTTAAGCAACATTAACTGTGCAAGGTGAAACACACAGTTTCCAGGTCCATAATGAACTTTAAAACTCAAGGTCATTAGATGCTTAAAAACAGGATGACCTTTGTTCACAGTATTTACTGCTCTAATATTTAACAGTTGATGTCAGAGATCTTGTCTGGGGGTTTTGAAGGGCCCACAGATACCCTGAGAAGAGGTAAAGAGGATGCTTCTAAGATCTCAGGCCTCACTGGTCTTGATCAGGCCCAGCTGTGGGCCAGAGATGTGATCTGTGGAGTCACACTGAGCCGCCCAGTAACACAACACCCTCTTTGCTCCACACACACACACTGGCCAAGTTTTAAAACCTTAAGGGACTGAGGAATGGAGAGAGGGTGGGGGTGATGAAGACAAGAGCAGAGACAGATAGTGAAATCATCTTCATCTGGTCTTCAGCAGCAGCAGCAGCAGCAGCACACTACAGGCCACAGCCTGGTCAAAACCTGGGCTGGGCCAGTGGGTTGCTACATTAGAATTAAGGAACATAAAGAGGTGCATGTGCTGATATAATCTGTGCTATCAGCTGAGCCAAAACACTCCTCAGTGCTTATCCTCTGCAGCGGCAATGAGTCTGCTTCAGACAAGCACTTAAGGATAAGAAACATTTGTGTCTGTTGAGGTCTTTAAAATCAGATCATAAGTTATTTGTGTAGTTCTGTCTGTTGGTTCAGCTCAGGTAACGTCACACAGACCAAAGGAAATGCTGTGATCTGGGAACAGGAGGACATCACCACCACAAAGTAGTGAAAAGTGGTAATTAATGGCCTGATGCACTGAGTGAACGCACATGCACTTTGTACTAAACTGGACGTCTACATACACTGATGTGAAGGTCTGCTCGTACAGTCCATTTGGTCAAAAATGTAGACATGGACTACAAGAAGATAAAAATTACGTGGGTAGGGGGAAGTATAATTTTGGCTTAATCTCGTGTGTGTGTGTGTGTGCGAGCCCCGGCCGAATTAACCCACCAGCCCTGGAGGGAGCATGAAGCACGTGCCACTGAGTGACTCCTNGACTGACCTGTGTTGCTATAAGCTGGAACATTACCCTGCTCCAGGTTTGTCTGTCAATCTGTGAATATGCAACGTGCAAAAATAACTTCCACTAAAGTGTTAAAGGTACTAAAACTAGATGTTAAGGCATTTATCGTTTCAGTTGTTATTGTGTTTTACTGGTGTATATTACCAAAAAGTAATCAAATTACCACGTGATAATTTCCACACAGATGATCTTAAGCCTTCAAAAAGCCATTAATGAGCGGGGGCCGTTGGGCAGTCGCCCAATTCTCCCTCTTTATAAATGCGACGTAGGTGCACACACACACACTTATGGCAAATGCAGTTCAGAAAGTCAAAGCTGAACCAGGAAGTCCGTCTATAAACTGTGATGGATGTGAACAGTCTGCGTATCATTTGAGTAATAATAACTGGATGAGTGCATGGATGTAATGAAATCTGTCTGTTCAGGGATCCACTTCCTGTCCTTCCTGTCAGTGTTGGTGAGCTGCTCAAATAGGAGCAATTTTCTTTAAGAATGTGGGATCGGCTGCAGAGCTGGTGGTTTACTCCATCCAGCAGACTTGGAAAAACGTCTTCCATAAGAAAATAGCAACAACTTGGCCAGTCAGAGTTACTTTGGGAATTTAAAAAAGCGCAGCAATTTGCTGTTCTCAACAGATCCACCTGAAACCTCTGGAACAGACACATAGCCCAAACACATTTTGTATTAATCTGCGAGTCCAGCTGTCGGCCTCAGTGGGAGGTGGTTCCAGAACAAGCTCAGGTGGCCTGACCTGGTATGAAACCACAGTCCTGCCAACAGGACGACCTTGGACACGTGTGGATGAGAAGAGGAAGAGAGACAGAGATGGAGGGAGGGAGAGGAGGGAGAGTCAGTCTGATGGATGACACTGTCACAGCCAATCCATCTATTAAAGAGGATGATACAGCAGTGTTCTGGCCCACATGGAAACCATGCTGAAAACCGTGTGTGGATGGGTTTGAAGGGAAGCTGTGATCTGGACCCTTGAAGGGAACAGTCTGATGAGATATCAAATACAGAACATTTTTACAGAAACAACAACTCTGTCTCTTAAATCTTAGATTACTGGGGAGAGCAACTTAGGAGGATAAATGAGAAGGAAGAGCAATTAAAGCTACTTACCCCTGTCTGCTGAGGATGTTGTGGGCCTGCTGTTCGATGAAGAGGTCTCCAGGAGACGCACCGTGTTTAGGTGAGGAGAGGGAAGGGTGCCTGCTCAGCTTGGGTGAACTGGGTGGCATCCCTGTGACTGGATAGTCCCTGGCCGGCCCCCTGCCAGCTGAGGACAGTGATGTCACATCCATGTATGAGGAGGAGGACGGCGGCTCTGGAGGAGCAGCCCTGCGTTGGTTCTCTAGGTTCATCAGCCTCTCCCTCTCTGAGAACGAGTCCACCCTGGTGCGGCCCATCTCGTAGCCCGGGTCGGCGTGGCCCTGGTGGTGTGCTGTGTGTCCGGACCTCGGGCTGGTGGCTGAGGTGCTGGTGTAAGAAGTCAGGTTGATGTCTCTCCCTTCTTCCCCCACAGACGCCTCTCTGTTTTGCCTCTCCGAGCCTTCCGACTCCCTCTGGGTGCGGGTGTAGCGAGAGGGATAGTCCAAGTCCGGCTCCTGATCTAAGGCGATACCGTAGCGCTCAGCCAGCTGCCGGCGCCGTTCTGCCTTGTAGCGGGCGATTCGTTCAGCCTTGGACTCCAGCTCTGGGCCACTGGTGGTGGAGCTTGAACTGTAGACTGGCTCTGTGTGGACTGAGGACTGAGGGTCAGGCCTACATCGAGCTCTGGACTGTCGCTCCGGAGCCTTCGGCTGCATTTCTGAGCTTTCGAATCCCTCAACGCCATACCGCTGGACTGTAACTAGAGGACAGAGAGTGAACACAAGTCAGTTCTGCCCACAGAAATGAACAAAAGAGACAAAAAATGACCCAGGTGTGCAC